GCAGGAAATCTAAATCTCCTATCCCTGGGCAAGGCTACCTAGGCACAGAGCGGCCCTCTTCCGTCTCCTCCGTGCATTCAGAAGGGGATTACCACAGGCAGACTCCAGGGTGGGCCTGGGAAGACAGGCCATCCTCAACGGGTGAGGAGCTCACTGCTAGAAACCGAGCCTTAAGTAGTTTATGTGACTGCCTTGGTTAGTGCTTCTGCAGTCAGAAACTGTGCTTATAAAACTATTCTTTCCATGACTGCATCATGAATAAGGTCACTTTCCAGAATAGAAATTAAATACATAAAACCATAGAAATTTTAAGAATGCAGGGTCTGATTACCACAAAGAAGAGCTATGAAAAAAAATTTCATCCCTCGCCCCTCTTCTGTATTATGCTGATGGTCAACATCTGCTGTTTGCAAAGCAACAAAGTCTGTGGTCTCAGTTCTTCCGTAAACTTGACCTAAATGTAAAGTAAGACTCACACAGCAGCTCCACCTTTAGCCTGTCACACAGGGGGTCCAGCCTGCGGCCTCCGGGCCATATGCAGCTGAGGGTGGCTGTGAATGTGGCCCAGCACAAACTTGTAAATGTCCTTAAAACATTGGGGGGTTTTTTTGTGTGTGTGTGATTATGTTTCGCAATGTTTTTATTTTGTGGCCCAAGACAGCTCTTCTTGCAGTGTGGCCCAGAGACACCAGAAGGCTGGACACCCCTAATAGGTTCTTAGGGAACACTAGGAAATCAAGGTCAGAAATGGGAGGAATAGTTTAAAGAGCCATCTCTCTCTAGGCTCACTCTGTCTATACGGACTGATGAAAAACAGTATTCTAGGATGTGTATTAAGTGCTTTCCATATTGTGCCTGTTTGTAAATTTTTAAAAACATAATAGCCTTAATAGTGGTAGTTTTAAGAAGGAACAGACTTCTCTTATTTTCATAAAAATAAACCTAGGTTGTTTGCTGTGGATTTAAGTTTTCAGAGAATTATAACCCATCCTTTCCTTAGGGGTAAAGGGAAAGTATGTTCATGGAAAAATCAGAAATCCCCCCTTTATGACATATAAACTTCACATGGACATTATATCAGCATAATTTAAGGCTCTTTGTTTTCTCAAATTTTCACCCCACATGTGAAGTGGTTATGTACTAGTTTGAAAACTTAAAAGCCTAGGCCGTTGATTGTTCTCAGATGTCTTTTAGGAAAGGAATTTACTAAACCATTCATGAAATCGCTTTCACTACATTCATGTTTCCTGTTAAGAGTTTCGTATGCCCTAGGCGGCTTTCTGGGGACAGGGAAACAAATCTACAAACTGAGCAGGTAGCAGTGCTGTCATTAGGGTTATGTCCCCGTCCTTAAGTACACACAGTGAGATCCAGCAGCTGACGCGCATCCCGCTGCCATTCCTGGGTGTTCTTCCTCATCCTGTGAGAACTGTACCCTAAGCTTATCGTTAAGAATCAAGAAGTTTTTGGTGCAAGCAGAGTCTTTTGATTAGAGTGTAATATCCAAGTTCTGCTTGGATTCTCTACGGAAACACCTAGTTCTGAACTTAACAACTAGAAATCCAGGCCCGAGCTTTCATTTCTGGGCTCAGCAGCCCTCACCTCAGGTGTGTGCTCATGTTATTTGTCCTGTCTAGACTCCCTGCTGCATTGTGACTGTCTTAAGTGGTAAAACCTTGACCCCTCAATGTTGTTTCATTTTGACTAGTTTCACAGGATCATTTTAGTACGGCCCTGCCCTCCTCCCTCCAGTGAAAAGTTGAGTGAAACAGCAGCTATGCTCATGACAATGAAACCTACTTTTCATTTTGCCAGGCTCAACTCAGTTTCCTTACAACCCTCTGACCATGCGGATGCTCAGCAGCACACCACCAACACCGATTGCATGCGCCCCCTCTTCCGTGAACCAAGCGGCTCCTCACCAACAGAACAGGATCTGGGAGCGGGAGCCAGCGCCCCTGCTCTCGGCACAGTATGAGACGCTGTCGGACAGTGATGACTGAACTGCGCAGGAGAGGGGTCTTGATGGGGCCAGGGTGTGCGGGAGGGATCTCTAGTTTTTGGTGGTTTTATTTTTAATTGCAGGTCAAAAGCCTGCCTTCCCATGACTTATGCCCAGAGACTTTTCAGGAGAGCCTGGACCATGGACTTGATGAAATTATGGAAACACAGAAAGAAATGAAGAAAAATTGCCTTTGATAGAGGCAGTTCAGTGGATTATAATAGTGCAAGGTTGAAATGTAGGATTTTTTAAAATGGACAATTCTTGTTCTTACATCTGTAAAGAAAACCATAATGTCTTTAAATCACTCTTCTGTAAATAGATGATCTTTTGCAGTGTTTTCCCCTCGCTCTACTATCTGGTGTACTTACGTTCAAGTCAGCATCAACTTCGGGGGTAATTTTTAAAAATCTTTTCATCTATCTTTTTATCCCTTGCCTTCTAAACAACCTCAAACAGCCCAGTTACATAATGTTGGCTGTCATGGGCATTGTACTTTTATCCTATTTTGTTTCTTCTAAATTCAGGTTCCCAGGTGATATTTAAAATCTTGTGGAAATGTTAAGATTTTTAACACAGACCCTGTCATAAAAGCTGTATATTAACGTGCTATGGTCACAAGGTAGAAGAAACAAAATTCTGCCATATTGTAAATTTCTAGTGCAGGCTTAAAAAATTTTTTTAATTAGCAGCACTTAAAAACTATTACTGCATGGGTATGTTATAGTTCGGTTTTTTAAGTTTTAAAGGCTTACCTGAGACATACCTCACTGTTACGCACACTGGTAACTTAACCGTGCCCCTAAGTATTCTTTTTATCCTGCATTTGATGCAGCACAACAAAGCTTTTGCTTTGAAATAAATTTTGACTACCCTGTCCATAGGTATAGTAGATTGTGATTTAAGGCTCTTGCTGTCTCAGGTTTCAAAGGAAAAACTCATCCTTCTATTTAGTTTGACCTGTATCACTGGCTGAGTTAGAAGATACCGATTTGTATCGCGCCTCAGTCACTCGGAGTCCCTTTGTGCTGCGTATCCTGGACTCGGGGGTCCGCCTCCCCTGTGTGCCAGGGCTTCCTCTCACTTTGAGTCCTTGTTGGCAAGAGTTTATTGTTGAATGTTTTCATTTCACTGAATCTCAAGGAGCAAATAATGTAAGACGGAATTTTAAACTGATTATGGTACTAGAGGGTCAATTTTATCCTTCATTAATTACCGCTTTTTGAATTTTAGATTTTTTTTCACCTAACTTAGTAAGCATAGCATTGAAGCCTCCTTCTGTAGCATGTAAATGCTAAACAATTTCGGGAGAATGCCACTGATTAGAAAGGGGGGAAAGAGAGGTCTCTCAGGATGGTAAAAATCAGCACTTTACATACTTTAAGTAGACCTAAACTTTTTAACAAAGGAACTCAAGCCTCTAAAGAAAACAAATCTATGGTGACCACTGACTGCCTTCTTTGTGATGAAGTGTCTCGTGTTTGTGATCGCGACCTTCGCATTGCCCAAGAGCACTGGTGCCCAGTCCCCATTTTACAGAGAAGGGCACAGGTTCAGCACTTTGCCCATAGAGTTAAATAAGCGACAAAGGCCATAAACTCACGTTTGCCTGAAATGAAAGCCTTCGCTCCTGTTAACTATCCCGCTCTAGTATACTTGAGGTCCTCAAAATAAACTTTACATCAGGTTTAGTGATCAGATTCCTACTACTTGGGAAGTTTGGTATCACTTTATTATAGAATATCATACACATTTTAATGTGAATGAAAAAATAACTAAATGTTCTACATAACAGTGTTCTGAAATTTTTTTTAGGTGCTGACGTCATTAATAATTTATATTGTCAACTGACCCAGAAGAGACTGTGATTGTATTTTTCTTAAAGAGACCCTGAGGGTCTTAAACTTCCAAATCAGAATAGTTTTTGAGACCATGTCAAATCCGAGCCTAACCTGATACTTTTGCAGTTTCACTTGAGGACCCCAAAGTGGGCAGCTTATTAATCCCTCACCCAAACCTTATCACAACGCATGTGTTACTTCATCCACCATCAAGAATAGATTCAGACTGGGAGGTAAAACCCAGTACCATTGCTTAGTTCAGGGCAACGAAAGGACAGCATCCTCACATGCCTTACCTATGGAACAAACCCGGGACCGACAGAGGTCCACCTCAGTACGATTGAAAATGGCGCGCACAGCACTGAATGTGACTGATGACTTGTTCAAGTCAGCTGTAAACCAAGGCCTAGCCCTCTTTGCAGGCTGAGGTCTCAGTGTTCTGAAGCTAAATCCTCATGCATGATTTCTTAGCACCCAGAACTAAATTAAGAGTCTTCCCAATACTGTTCATAGGAATATCCTGACAGCCCAATTTCCAGTGCATGTTTATAACTGAAAATTTCATAATGCTTTAATTTCGGTATGCTGAGTGATTCTGTTTTAAAAATATGCCTTGAACACTCTGGCACGTGATGAGTAAAGGGGTCAGTTTCACAGCAGTGCAAATGAACTTGAATGAGAACACCCACATGAAGAGACTGTCTTTCTGAAAACTAGTTTTTCCAGCACCGGGACCATGAGATGAATCATTGTGGAGGATCAAAAATTCTTAAATAAAACCTGAAGTGAAAAACCTACTTTCAGTAACCCCTGCAATTGTGAAAAGGTAAAAACATTCTCAGTGCAGAAGGTGAGTAGTTGACAATTTTTTTAAATCACCAATAAATTAAGAATGGGCTGCACGGAAATGTAGTCTGCTTTAAATTACAGTTTGTCTCTCTGAGATAAGACAATTGAAGGAATTAACTGAGTGATAAATGCAAATAACAGATGAGCTTAAACTCTGGGAAAAAACTTGTATTTGCAAAATATAAAATTCCAGTTTTAGTCTAATTCCTGAGGATTTGGACCTCAGGGTTTCTAGGGTTTTATTTTTATTAACCCTTTAGTAAGTTGCTTTTTATGAGAAACTCAAAGATTACGGAATACATACAATATTCTTGTAGAGTCTCTAGTTTATTATGAAAGGGTTCTTCTGGTAAGTACATAGGAACGAAAAATACCAGCGTATCCTCCCCACTCACAATCCCACCCCAGAGGCTCACCGACAGTAAGTGTTCCTTCACGGCACTTGGAAAAACTGCCTTCCCCTTAGGGAAATGTCTCTTTGCAAGACTGCAAAGGTAAAAACACCCACCGACGTATCTTATATTAAGATACAAGTCCCCCACTTGTATTAAGTTCCTGACTTAACAGTGGTTCAATTTAATAATTTTTCAACTTTACGATGTTGCAAAAGCAGTATGTGCTTAGTAGAAACCAGTTGGGCTGAGCTGAGGCTCAGTAGGCTAGGTATACTAAAGCATTTTTGACATAAAATATTTTCAATTTATGATGGGTTTATCAGGACATAATCTCATAGTATCTATACACTTTCTAGACATTGAGGAAAAATGATAAAGCCCTTTCAACACAGTAGTCTATTCATTTAAAGCCATTTGACTAAATACCATCCCCCATGGCCATGAGAGAATCTCATTTGTTCCCTACTTTGCAAATGAGGACACGGAAACCCAAATTCAGGATGCCAGGGCTAGGGGTCCTGGACAGTGGTTCTGTTGCTGCACCTGCAGTGCCTACCAGCACTACTGGGAAGGTTTTAAGCCCTATACCTGGGGGGCCCAGCCCAGCCGAGCCCTGAGGAAGAAGGCTTTTGGGTGCAGCTTAGGCACGCATTTCTTGAAAGAGCTCCTCAGACGACTGTTCCATGACCTGGGTTGCAAAGGAAGTGGAGTGCTCAGATTTGACAAGGATGTTGCTTTTCTCTTCCTCTATGCATTCACCCCACACTGGGCTTCATGAAGTAGATTGTAAGAGCCATGACTCACCATAATCCCCTTTTTGGTATGAGACAGGTAGCGCTGGTCTTCCAGATATTGATAAAAAGAAAAGAGGGCAACAAATCAATAGACCAGAACTTTACGGGCGGAGAGGCCCGCATTTAGAGCAGCGCGGACTCGCCTGAGCGCACGCTGCAGCTGAAGGCGCCACCTGGCGCCCTTAGAGTCAGAATCAGTCGGGGTGAGAGCTGATTGTCCTTGAGAAAACAGAAGCGGCAGTGTATTAACTTCTCTTTCACTGAGTCTAAATTGGGGATATACCGAAGATAAAGGATTTAAGCCAGCGATTTTCAACCTTTTTCACCTCGTGGCGCACATAAACCAACTACTAAAATTCTGCAACACATCAAAAAATTTTATTTTTCACCAACCTGACAAAAAATATGGGTATAGTTTTGATTCATTCACACCAGTCAGCTATTGTTGTGTTGACTGGTGTCATTTTTTTACTTCACAGTCAAAGGGAAAGAGGTCAGTACCCCTGACTACACAGGCAGGTAGTGCATGTTGTAAAAAATCTTGTGGCGCACGGGTTGAAAATCACTGATTTAAGCCACTGATTTGGGTGCCACTGGACTGGAATTATAAGCTGTTACTGGAAATTCCCTGCAACAAAAAGGAATTTAGAGCTTGACGGATTTAAGTCAAAGGTCTAGTTTTTCTGGACAGCTCAGCCAATTCTTCCCTGATGTGCTGTATAGAAACCTCATCTCTTTTCAGCTCTGCCTGCTTCAGTGCTTCCTGGTAGATCTCTTTTGCTTGTGCATATCGTTCTAAAATAATCCAGAGAGAAGGGAGAATATAAGAAAAAAATGTGTGTCAAAGTGATTCTGAAGAGAAATCACGAGTCTAACACAGGCCTCGTTTACCGCGTGCCTGGTGACTGATGGGCTGGCTGAGGGACCGTGAACTGGCACAGCGCGGAAGGCACAGCCCGGGGACTGCAGTGGGACCGCCAACCACGCCAGCTCACCCCTGGGGCCCTCACGTCGTCAGCCAAGGACTTCCCTCAGGCTGAAAAAGGACCTGTCCCTCCCGGTTTTTGGAAAATTGCAGATGAGGCCCTGAGTAACGGGACATAGTGTGTCTCTCAAACTGATACTGTCGTAGCAGCTCTGTAAATACACTGTTGGGAACAAATTCAGTTTGTGTGAAGGCGTCTAGAAATCGGAAAGCATCATAGAAACGAAGTTCTCTCACTGCCGAACTTTCTCTGCACACATGGAGTTCAGCATGCTGGGGCAGGGCTGTGGACGTTGTGTAAACTGAGCACAATGGCATTTCAGCCAAACATACATCCGTTCTGGTATTATTCAGCCAGCCTTTTAATTAGAGGACTCTAATTAAATTTTAATTGTGGAGCTTCCTCACTGCCCAGCCTTGCCCTGCCAAAATACCATTTCACAAGTTATAAATCCAGTAACGCCACTCCCGACCTCAAGATTTCACAGTCCAGGCTTCACAGCCCCCTACCTCTATGCATGAGAATCGCAGCCAGGTTGCTGAGCACCATGTGCAGCTCGGGGTGTTCTGTTTGTCTTGCCAGATCCGATGCCCTTTGCACGTAGGCACAGGCCTCATCCGAGTGGCCCTGAGCATCTAGGCTGGTAGCCAGGTCACTCATCAGCACGATGGTCTATATAAGGAAGCAAACACAGGCATCTTTGAAAAAAAATAAAACAGCTACCCAGATCTAATGTTAATTTGGAGTTTTATAAACTGTGAATATACACTTAAAATTTCATCTTTCCTAGTATCCCACAAAAGGGGAGGGACATCAGCCTGTAACAAGGACATGCTGTTAGCATTCAGTGTGTAATGGACAGCATTAGTGTGACCCGCTGGAAAAATGATACAAATCCAGAAACTAGGGAACAGACTGAACATTTATTACTATAATTATTGTATTAGAAACATGACAAATAACGGCAAAAAGCTAGAATATCCCAGTTAAGGTTCTGCAGTCTCAAAAAGCCAGCCCCCGGAGCTGTCCTGCAGCGCAACACAGTCCCCACGGGTGGCCCTGGGGCGCAGCGCAGAGAGAGACCATCCGTTCTAGAAAGGCTGCCTAGAAAGGCTGCCAGCAGGAGGGTTTCCAGGGCTGGCACTAAGTGAGGTAGGTCCCACCTCCTCCATGAAGCCATGCTTTATGTCCCCAGTTCTAGTCCTTGGTGATGTGAACTCCATGTTTGTCTCATTATTCCTCAATGATATTCCATTAACAGGACTCTATAAATAAAGTCCTAAATCCCTTTCCAGAAGATAATTCAGAGCCCATAGCTTACCCTGCCCATCAACCCCAGCCTTGGGACATACTCATTCCAGTGAAAATGTTTGTCTCCTTTGCTGGCAGAACCAAGCATTCACATAGTGATCCACCTGTTACCTCTACAAACCTAATTTGAAAGGAGTGACAGAGACGATTTCAACTCAGTGTGTTTAGTGTTCTAACAGAAAGCTTACATGCTGTGCCTAACTTCTGTCAGTGGTTTTTAACTTTTTTTAATGCAGTCCCTCCTTTCTCATTTGCTGCTCTTTCCTGTCATTTTACCTGTGGGGCGAGGGAGACGAGGACCTTCGGCTGTTCCTCCGAAGGCTCCCCATTCTGAAGTGCTGTGCAGTGGACTCTGAAGCGCCGGAAGCACACAGGTGCCTGGCTAGACCTGCCTTTTAGAAAGGCTGCTCTGATGTGTGAACCAGTACTCACTCAAAACGTTCTGGGCAGATCCAGTAATTGGTCAGCAGCCTCAAATCCTTTCTGAAACGAGTGGCTAGGGGTGGGAAGGGTGGCAGGACAATGAATGGACTGGGGCGGGAGGAGAGCAGGGTACACGGGGGACCATCTGTGCCCATCTGTTCCCAGCGAGTGTGGCACTTCACACCCATAAGTTCTGAAACCTGTTTTCCTCGCTTACCTGTGGGTGTGTTTCTCCTAGTATTTCTTCAGAAATATGCAAAGCTTTTTCATACATCCTTTGTGCCTGTGACGGATGCTTGGACAACAGGAGGTAGCGAGCGTAGGCATCTAAGCACATGCCAAGGAGGAGGTGGGTATTGGCTTTTTCTTCCACTGAAAAGGAAGTGAGAGCCTTGCTGTGATACGGCAAGTACAGTAGAGAAGGTGTGTCCAAGAACTGGCCAACCTACCCTAAGCATTTTCATTCTTCCCAAGACCCACAAATACCTGACATTGTAGGACCCCTGAACGGTTCACGTCCGGTAAGTACTCCTAGCCTGACACCTGAGGAGGGATAACGTCTGAATGGGTTCCTGAACCCAATTCCCGCGTGCGTGTGTGGGCAGGCACAGGCTCCCCCACAGCCACGAGCAATCCTCAGCATCAGCCACGTATCCAAGAATTCAACTCAGTTCTGACGCTGGCTACCCAGAGGCAGCCCCAGGCCCCACGGGCTGATGGCTCAGGCCTGCTGGCTGCACTCCTCCCTCCCCAGCTCTGGACTCCAGCCACAAGCCCCACTTGTTACCTGTGCTTCGGACAGAGCAGCTACAAATTGGAGCTTTCCAACTACCCCCTCCAACTCAGGATGCCAATAGGAAGTCCCAGGTTGTGAATGGCTACAATTAGAGGTTCTCAGAACTCCTTCCATGGGTTCGATTAATTTGCTAGAGCAGCTCACAGAACTCTGAGAAACATGTTTACTAACTAGATTACTGGTTTATTATAAAAGGATATAACCCAAGAAGAGCCAGACAGAGAAGCGCTGGGCCAGGCAGTCGATGCGGGGGCCGGGGGAGGGGGGCGCGGTGCCTCCATGCCCTCTCCAGGTGCGCCTCTGTCCCCGCACCGCCCCAGGTTCAGCAACCCAGAGGTGCTACACACGCCGTCATTTTGAGGTTTTATGGAGACTGCATCCCACAGGCACGACATTAAACACGGACCACTGGCAACTGGTCCCACCTCCACCCCCTCTCCCCTTCCTGGAGGTCACTGGGTGTGACTAAAAAGTTCCAGCCCTGTAATCACTGGCAAAGATCCCCCATCCTTAGGTGCGCTCCAAAAGTTGCCTCATTAACATAATGAAAGGAATCCTGCTCACTCAACACTTAGGAAATTCCAAGGGTTTGGGAGCTGGGAGCCAGTAACTGTGGACCAAGACCAAATAAATACCTATGAGAAGCTGGTAATTCATATGACCAAATATGTATTTCTTATAAATCACAATATCATAGCATCCAATTAAGTGACAAACTTTCTCCCACTTTTTAAAACTGAGTCGACACACTGATTAGAATGTGGAATATTATTTTAGTTTGAAACTAATATTTAGCATATACATGTGAAGATAAAATTCAAAGTAGAACGAGTTAACGACAAAGTCTAGGGCCAAATAAAAAGTTTTAAGGTGCAAAAAAGCAACGTAGACACCACAGGCTATTAGAATCCTGAGATGAAAAATCACAAGCCAAATTTCAAGAACAATTTTAAAGATCCACCTTTTTTTTTAACAATAAAAATAAAGGTTGCAATGATCTAGCACTTCTTGACATACATCCCAAAACTGACTACACAGCGTCTGGACAAGACACCAAATGCCCTGCAGAACTGGAGAACACAGGTCACAGTTGGAAGAGGCTGCGGCTTGGTTCTATTTACAGCTGTACCTCAGGGCCTAGTACTGTGTCTGGCACAGAACAGGCATTCAATTGTGCTTCCTGACTGGCTAAATGAATTAAAAACAAAGGTAATGAACTTAACATGGAAAAGCCGTACCGGTAATGAAACTAAAAATTAACAGAATTAAACAACATTGTCACCCCATTGATCTATGAAAAGAATATAGAGCTGTCATTACAGATCAGTAAGAAAAGGATGGACTAATGAAACAGTTCTGAGCTAAAACCTGTCCATGAAGGAGGAAAAAATTATATTGCCACCTCTTACCACATTAAAAAAGAAATTCTAGGTGCAAGAGTTCAGTTGGGTGGAGCGTTGTCCTGATCCGCCAGGTGGCTCCTAGGTCAGGGCACGCACAGGAGCCGACCGTTGAGGGCATAAATAAGGGGAACAACAAATCAATGTTCCCCACCCTTCCAAATCAATTAAAAATTTAAAATTCTAGGTCACAGAATTAAAAAAATGGGCAAAAGTTAAGCTGTACTCATCTTACAAAAGAAACTGAAAACAAATGTGTTTTTCTGAGTCAAGTATGTCTGAAAGAAACTTTCAGGTTAGCCCCAAGAAAACTGAAAACCATGTGTGGCCTTCCTTTCAAACGACATAAATGGAGTTTTAGTGAAGAAAATGGCCCTATAGTAAGGACCTGAAAACAAAGGAAATAACAAAAATGGGAAACATTTTTTATAAGTGCAACAATTAGACCAAACATCACTTTTAGTACTAATTTAAATAGGTTTTAAGATTATCACAAGACAATGATACTTAGGTTTTTAAAAAAATCTAAACAAAGCCCTCTACAAAAGATATATGACAAATGACTCAGAAAAAGTAAAATAAGGCAAGATATAATCAACAATGTAAAATTAAATTTATGACGGACGAATAAGACAAATTTTTTCTGACGAACAGATAATGAATATATATCTTCAATGAAGATATATCTAGGACTTTTTAAACAGCATAGATACATGTATAAAGAAAAAACCATAAAAAAAATTTTGCCTAGAACAACTAAAAATCATCAAGACTCAGACAAAACTATAAACCCACTAGACATAACAGGCATGTATAACACACCGCCCAACAATAACAAAATATATTTTCAAATGAGCATGCAATACTCTCCAAGAAAAACCATATATTGGGTTATAAGTCTCAATAAAAGGACTGAAATTATCAAAGCAAGTTCTCTGAACACAAAAGAATGAACGTAGAAGTCAACAGCAAATGAAAATTTGAGGAGTATGTCCTGGCTGGTGTGGCTCAGTGGACTAAGTGCCAACTGGTGAACCAAAGGGTGGCGGGTTTGATTCCCTATCAGGGGACATGCCTGGGTTGTAGGCCAGGTCCCCAGTAGGGGGCGCAGAGGTCACACGATGATGTTTCTCTCCCTCTTTCTCCCTCCCTCCCCTTCTCTCTAAAACTAAATAAAATCTTGAAGGGAAAAAAAAAGAAAATTTGAGGAATTCACATATATATGGAAATTAACATACTCCAAAATATCCTAAGGATAAAAAATACTTTGAGACATGAAAATGAAAAACAACACATCAAAATTTAGGTGATGCAGCAGAGAAATTTATAGTTGTGAATACCTATATGTACTAGAAAGATCTTAAATCAATAACCTAATCTTCCACCTAATAAACTAGAAAAAGAGCAAAATAAACCCAAAGCAAGCAGAAGCCATAATAAAGATTACAGTGGAAATAAGTGAAATAGTAAAACAATAGAAAAATGAAACCACAAATTGACTCTTTGAAAATATCAACAAAATTGACAAGGAGAGCTGAATAAAATAATCAGGATGATCCTTCATAAACTAAGACTGGTAAACATAGAGAAGGTAAGTCATTTAATAAATTACGTTAATATATCACATTCCAGCAAACTCTTACATAGTATTTAACAAACACTAGTCACAGTCCTATAGCATTTAATACCCATAACAACTCCATAAGGCAGGTTCTAGTATTATTTTATTGATGAGGAAACAGAAAAGTAACATCTATAGTCACACTAATAAGTAAGTGTAGGAGACAGATTTCGAACTCAGGTTACAGACTTCAAGGACTCCTGAAACTAAATATGCCACCAAAAATATTTCAACATTCCAGAAATGTTTTGATTAAAATATAAAAATGAATGAACATTTCAGCTCAAGGAAAGGAGGAGGAAGGAATCAATGGGGGAAAAAAATCTCTTAAAAAGAAATGACTCCATCAAATTAAAAACTGGGAAAGTAGTATGTTCTCAGGTACATAGCGAATACTGTGAATTATGCTTTCAGAATATAATTTCAATTCCATAAGAAAGATTCTTCTAGGAAAGTAGAGCTCTCCAAAATCCTTTCACCCACTCATTCACTTATTCAACAGGTATTCATCAGCACTGAGTCCGTGGCACTGTCCTAGCTACTGAAATCAAATCAAGAAAAGTGGAAACCAAAACTTAAATGTATGAGTAATTGATGAAGAAAAAAGATTGCCAGATAATCAGCTCTAAAGATCTAGCCCACGTGGTTTCCTAGATTCTGTAACTTTAAAGGATTAGAGCATCCCTATGTAAAACCCCACACCTATTTCAGAACAGAATATACAGAATGCAGTCCAATTCATCTTATCACATGAGATGACAAGCACGATAAACTATGGATCTCAACATGAATGCAAAAGTAAAACCTCAGCATTAAATATTATCCAGCAGTATCCTGAACAATTAACTGATTATTAGCAAACCTTATTTGCTCTAGATATATAATAATAAATCTATTTATACAGCTGTCACCAAACTAGATATAAGACAAAGTTGTCCATCACCACTATTATTCAATGTTGTTCTGAGATTATAGCCAATGAACTATATTTAATGAGGGCAGGAGGAAAACCACAGAAGTGTATCTAAAAGGAAATCATTATCATGATTTCCCAAATGTTTTATTACGTATCTGCCAACAGTGTGATACCAACTGAAAAGCAAACAGTTTAGTCAAGGATCCACTTGGAATCAAGCGTACTTAGATGTCACATCTACGTGAATAAATCTGTAAGCAACAGCCACATCATGTTCCTCAGTGGGTAGACTCAATACTGCAAAACAGTGCAGTGAGGGACTTCTGCCAGCACAGCTGCAGTCTGTCCCAGTGTCCTGCCTTCCACGCCGAGGGGACTCCCATCCTGTCTTGGGACTGGATTCTGACCAGCTTGAGCCAATCATGGTAATCCCATTTCTCTGGCCAAAGACTGCCTTAGAAATACCAAGTAACCCAATTCTAGCAATGAGAAGTAAGGACAAATCTACCTGTGGATTTCCGGAGAAGATTACCTGCATTCTACGAAAAACAAAAACATCTCCTTTTCCTCCGACGTTGGCATTTCTGGGTGAGACACCCGGGACCTGGTATAGTCACTTTCCGACTGCAGGGGGAGGCGCGAAGAGAAGGCCAGTGAGGGGGGTGGGAAGAGAGGGCCCTGCCGGGCCCCTGTTGGCCTTACACGCAGCACCTGGCCCAACAGCCTAGCCCCTTTTGCTCACTTGCCAGTTACAAGAGATAAGTGCCATTACTGTTTAACTTAATTTAGTTGACATTCTCTGCTATTTGCATTCAAATGTTAATTTATTTTTATTCAGATCTCAAGCTCCTCAAACGAACTTATAAATATAATGCAAGTCTAATAATTCAGTCTCAAAGCACTTGGGGACTTCACAAAATAATTTCAAATTCATGTAAAAATATCTAACATTCATGTGAAAATAAAATAGGAAAAAATTTTGCAAAAGTAGTATTTGTGACCTTGGGGTAGTGACCTCGCAATACAGTGTACACATGATGTGTTGTAGAACTGTGCACCTGAAACCTGTATAGTTTCGTTAACCAGTATCACACCAATAAATTCAATAAAAAGGAAAAAGAGCAGCATTTGAGCCCTGGCTGGTGTGGCTCAGTGGATTGAGTGCCGACCTGTGAATCAAAGAGTCGCCAGTATGATTCCCAGGCAGGGCACATGCCTGGGTTGCGGGCCAGGTCCCCAGTACGGGACGTGTGAGAGGCAACACCACATTGATGTGTCTCCCTTTCTCCCTCCTTTCCCTCTCTAAAAATAAATCAATAAAATCTTTTTTTTTAAGCTACTAAAAAAGAAATGGGATAAAATTTTTTTTAAAAAGTAGCATTTGTGAGATCGGTATTACCATGTAACTCAAACATGTAATTCCACATACTAATAATTCAAGCAATGTATGCTGTTATAAATTTCATCAGATTAATAAATCTAAATGGAAAACCCCAAGAGAAAGCCAAGCATATACTTAATACGTAAGTACATGATGGTAATAGATTATCAAAATAAAGAAAAATAAAAATTGGAAAGATGGGTGAATATCTGATTTCAAAACTGGAAAATGCCGTCCTAAGTATTAGGCTCTGCAAGCGCAGGGACTGCGGCCCCCCCCCCCCGCCTCTCCACAGACCCTAGGACGAGAGCTGGCGCAGAGCAGCTGCTCCACGCTTCCAAGTCAACAAAAGCAAAGAAAATAAACATAAATCATTCCTCTCCAATCCCCAAAAGATTAAAGACTGGCACAAGACGTACAGTGTAATTCATTTATGTGAATTTTAAAAAGAAACATACAAAAACTAAATCTCTTCTGAACAGAGGTAAAACTAAGGAACAGTGAATGAGTGATCAAGATTCCGCAGAGCAGACTCTGAGGCAGGAAGGGCGAGGGGGCGGGGCCAGGCGCACACAAGCCCTCAAAGGCACTGTTCATGCCAGCTCACTGCCTGTGCTCATTGTTCTTTAAAAAAGACAAATATTAGCTTCACCCTTCCTTTTAATTAAAACAAAAACCAACAACTTCTAACTATATACACACACACACACACACACACACACAAATAAGGGAAAGAAAGAAGCCAGTGACAAGCAAGCCAATGTGTTAAGGACCCCAGAAAAGCTTAGGAATTAAATCAAGTACTATGGTGAAGAGAATTTGTCATATTCATAAAAAAGGAGCAAGAAAATCTAGTTAACTTCTGACCTCAGAGGAAACAAAAGGTTGTACACAAAAGGAAATGTGATTATGTAATCGTATTACTGGATCAGCAGCTACCACTATTTATATGGTCAAAATCATAAAAAAATTACACTAAATCTTCATTTTTCTGTAAGTCAATAGATTCTAAAAATACATCAAGAAATAATTGTTTTTGTTATTTAGAAAAACAAAATCCCCTATGAATCTACCAACCAGAGATAATCAATTATCTGTATTTTGTAATCACTTATCTATATTTTGGTATCAATCCTTATATACTTGTATTTAGTCTACATATTTTAGAAAATTAGGCTCTACCTTAACAATACAGTTTTCTGTACCTACTGTTTTCACTTAATTTTTTATGAGCCCTTCTTCAGTAATTACATATAGATACACAACATGAGGAACAAAATGAGTATCCCAGGCCAAGTTGTTCTTTTTGGGGGAGTGCGTAGTGACAGTAAAACCATTTTATTAACTGACCAAAGCACTTCATTTTATTTTCTGATTTAAGGTAAAACCATTACATACAGTTCTAGACCAAGTTTTTATGTGACCTGAAGTTATCTACTCTTGAGACAGAGTTTAGTCATGCCAATAAAAAGCACATAAATTTGATAATGGATTTACTTGGTTCAAAACTGAGTGGGGAGATATATTCCTTTAGAAGAAAATAAGATTAAGAATAACATACATTTTCTTTATTGCATGACTAGTAAAATGTAAAAATGTTTATAACAGAAATTAGTTTGCCCACTCCAATAAGAATTCCTTTGCCTGGCCCTGGCCGGGTAGCTCAGTTGGTTAGAGCATCATCCTGATACGCCAAGGTTGTAGGTTCAATCCCTGGTCAGGGCACGTACATGAATACAATTAACATTTAAATAAGTGGAATAACAAATTGATATCTCTCTCTCTCCTTCGAATCCATAAATAAAAAATTTTTTAAAAACACCTTTGCTTGGAAAAAGTGTTTTCATAATATATTACTACTTTTTAAAAAATCAGGCTACAAAGTGTCATAGTATATACAGTATGATCCCTAATTTGTTTCTTCAAATATAAATAGTAAAGGGCAAAAACAAGCCTGGAAAGACACACAACAAAAAACAGTAGTGGGATTATAGATGATCTTTATTTTCTCCTTAACAGTTTCCAAATTTTCTTCAATGCACCGGTATTACTTTTGGAATCAGAAAAGATAACTTCTCACTCAAGAAACTGTCCACAGTCGATGCTAACAAATTAAAGGTAGCAAGGGTGGACAGCTGGACTTGTTTTTACATCTTTTGTGAATTTCCTCAAAGCACTTGATACTGCACTGAAACTTTTACTTGTTTTGTTGAGTCTTTTACTCTTTCATTCAACAATTACTGAGCCTCAATTATGTGTCAGGCAGAGCTCTAGGTACTGAGGGTACAGCAGTTAATGGATGAGATGAACTCTAACCTTTGACAACGAAGACAAATACCAAACGCACTTGAACAAAAATATACTTTCAGCAGCAATACAAACACAAGCACACAACATAGACCTGCTTTTAAGCATGAATAAGAAAAGTAAAGAATTAAAAAGCATTAGGGAGACAGAGCTAAGGTGGGAGGAGACACCTGTCCCGTTGGGGTCGGCCTGCTGAGGAGGTGGTATCTGAGGGCAGAGCTAAAGGGAGAGCGCAGGCCCTACGGAGACACAGGCGAGCAGGCGAGGCTCAGGGAGCAGCAAGTAAAACGGCCTGTGGAGGGCGCCGAGCTTGAAGTGAACAAGAGCAGGAAAAAGACCTTTGCAGTGAAAGTGGAGAGCAGAAGATGATGTAGAACTGGCAGCTGGGGGTCAGATTACGTATGGCCTTATAGGTCCACTCTGAGATTCTGAACTTGTTCTAAAGGTGGTGCAAAGGCACTGATTTCTTACAAGATCTCTTTGCCTACGGCATGAACAGATTTGTGAGGGAACGACGGGAGGGAGGAAAACCCATGAGGCACTATTACAGGCATCCAAGCAAGAGACAGTGATGGCCTGGACCAAAGCAGGGGCGAGAGGATGAGGTGCAGCCTGAAGACGAGGTATTCTGATGGTTGATACAATATAACTTGTTGGTGAATTACATATAATGAGGAAGAAATCACAGATGAGTCTAGGTTCTTGGCCAAAGCAACCAGGTGAATGGTGGTACCATTTACTAAACTGAGGCTTAGTAGAGAAACAAGTTTGTGAATGGCAAAAACCAAAAGACCCATTTCAGACGTGGTAAGTGTGAGGTGACTATCAGAAATTCACACTGTCAGGTAGACAACCTTACCCATGAGTCTGCGGTTCATGAGCAAGTTGAGGCTTAAGGTGCAAAACTGGTATTAAAGTTATGGGGCTTAAATGCTACCTTCTAGGGCGTGATGCAGAGAGAGAAAGAGAAGACCAAAGACAGCCCTGAGGCCTGCTAACTTCAGAGGCGGCGAGGGGGAAGCGAGGCACCGGGGAGGCACCCACGTTTCCAGCAGGAGACGGTGACCACCTGGGTCAGAGCTGCTACTTGTAAGGGCAGCAGGGAAAGCAAGGAGTGAGAGCTGGTAACCTTCGTAAAAAGAGCTTCAGGAGAGTGACAGAGGGAAAAATGGCTTCTGCTCAAGAGAGAACTGGAAGGCAACTGAGTACAGACGACTCTTTCAAGGCATATTTATTGCCTTAGAGACAAGGGAATTGACTACTACACCTTCAACATCCTGCTAGCTCTCGGCATAGAGTAAGTGTGAAATAAGAGGATGAAAGAATGAATGTCAACTATGAAAACTCCCAATACTTCAAACCATATTGAAACACCCAAAAGGCTTAGAGCTGGAGAGCTTCCTACCCGCCCCACTCTATTCCCGGCTTAACTCTTCACGCTGTTCTGTACCCACTGAGGATCGCCTGCAAAACCACGTAACTTGGTATGTATCTGGGACCAAAGGTAATTAATTAGAATTGACTGGTAGCTGAAGCTTCTGTTTCTGCTCCTCAGTTTTCCGGAGGTTATACATAATAAAAGTTAACAGGTAAACTATGAACAGGTAACCAAGGGATTAAAAAAAGGAGTGGTCAAGTCATTTAACCAAAATATCTTACTCTAAATCCCCTACTGAGACATTAAAAACAGCCACCTAATTTCCCAAAGAGATGGCTCCCCCCATCCCCCCCCCCCACCAGAATGGAGGCAACCCCTTCATGGCGACGTCCAGAAAACAGCCAGGCTTCCCTACCTGACAAAATGTCTTCTGCTATTTCCTTTTCTCTTTCAATTTTTTCCTCTAGAGTTGAAATGCAGAATTCATAGCCAGCAAGAGCAAAGTCGTGTCTGTGAAGCAAAGATCAGCAATCACTTATTCACCTTTTCACAAACTCTTCTTTTATCCCCATTTTCCCAGCTGGAGTTTGAGTATTACCAAGAGAATAAAGTGGGAAAAGAAATTGCGTTTCCGGTCTGAGGGATGTCAACCTGCCCTTTCTCGAAAGTTGTGTTTTTCTCCTAGTCACCCACGCAACGTCACTTAAGACCTAAAAGGCTGGGGCCGCAGCATGGCTTTACCGGCCAGCACAGCCAGCACTTCCCTCCTCTCCCTCGGACACTGTGGAGCGAGTCCTCTCCCCTCGGGAAGCCCGTGCGGCCCAGCGCAGCGCCGCTGTGTGCGGAGGCTCTGCCCTGCTGCGGGCACCGCGGTCCAGCCCGCGGCTGTACACAATTGCTCGAGAGGGTTATTACCTTTACACTTCTTCCAAGCTGTTGGTCTCTGATGCAAGTTTCTTTACAGAAACGGCACTAGGAGGCAGTCAGCCTGACTCTAGCCCTGGCCCCTCTAGCCCTTGTGTCCTCTCCCAAGCAGCAGGCCGACTGACTCTGGACACAACAAGCGCCAACTGCTGGCTTCTGTAAAGACACGCACAGAAACACGACGGAAAGTCCCTCTCCATCCAGAAGCTCAGTTCTGGTTCTTGCTGTTGCGGCTCCAGTTTCTTATCCAAAAGGCCGAGAAGCAACTGGCTCGTTTCTTACCAGAAGCAGCACTACAGAGCCCACCCCTCTCCTCTGGTGCCTTGCCAGGGAGAAGAGATGACCCCACTGCTCTGCTGTTCCCAGAAGAACCGAAGCCTCCCCAGGCCCACACCTTGGCGGTCGGAGCTTGGTACCAGCCCGGACACGGAGCAGGGCGGCCTGGCCACAAGATGCTCCTTGTCAGAGCAAAGTGTCTATAAACAACTTCTGGTCTCATGCCTCTCTTAATAAAATGAAATAAAAATCGCTTTTGGGGACAGCACAGAGTAATTTACAAGCAAATTATTAGTGGCTCCTACACAATTTTCGCCCCTACAAGACCAGGACTTCGGTAGCACTCTCCAGTGTTAGCAGCTCTGGACGGCTTCTCACCCTAGGAGCTCACACCCCGTCAGCACCTGGTCCCACTCCTCCTCCAAGGGAGACGGATGCAGCTGCGATGCTCCCTGAACGGACTAACTGCAAAGCTCCGTGAAAGACGAGGTCAAAGGCCCTCAGCAGCTCTTGCCTATCCAGTATCCAACCATGTGCAGGAAGACTGAGCAGCTCCCCTGGGAATGAAGGGGCTGGTGTCTCGGGCGGAAGGGTCCAGGGCCAGGGCCCCCTGCCTCCACGAGCACTCATTCTAGGGCACCGGGCCTGAGGTCATTCCCGTCCCCAGCACCCAACCTCTGCAGCAACTGAAAACGTAAGCTTGTCTTAGGTCTTCCCGTAAACTCACCCCAAAATGTAACTCACTAGAGGAGTTCTTTGCTCACATCCTAAGTGGTTTTTCTTTGACTTACACTCAAGAGAACGGAAGGCACCCGGCTTCACGCGTCAGTTCCTCACCTTTGGCACACATGCAAGTTGGTTTCTAAAGCCTGTCCTGTGTGGCTGACAGACCTCTTCTTGAGAATTGGGACTCATCTAGTATTTTAAATTAGCACCACTTTCCTATCCTGCTTATCCCAAAGCCTCTCTGCCACCCCTGGATATTCCCCCTGCCTCACGCCCAGCTTCCCGGTGCCCTCCGCATGCTCTAAAACCCGCCCCCCAAGCCAGCCACTGGGACACTCCCACGGCAACGGTCTCGTCATTCCCCTTCACACCAAACTCCCTGGTTAGCCGATACCTGCACCAGCAAAGTGGTTTCTTCTAAGTTTATTATCCCTCGTAGCTTTCGTAGCGCTCCCTGCTCTCTAAGAAGAGCTGAAGTCCTAACTGTACCTTCCCTGGGTAGCTTTGTTGCTGTGCAGCCAGGGCTGAGGGCCATGGGCCCCCCTCGCAGGCTAACAGAAACAGCAGGGACAAAACTGGGGAAGACTGAAGATTTCAAAGACAAGGGATGGGAACACTCTGAATGTGACACCAGTCTTTGCGAGATCCAGGTGACTTATTCGCTGAGTGAGAATGTGTAACATCCCAGGGTCAAAGTGCTCTGCCCGCAGCCCTGGCTGTCACTGCCACGCCTGGATTCTGACTCTACTCACCTATTCTGAGCGGCATAGATACTAGCCAACTTTAGAGAGATTTCAATTATTGCATTGTCTTCCTGTTGGGAAAAAGAGAAATGAAGGAAATACATGACGAGTAAAATTTCCTCATAAAACATTTCAGATCAACTCTTAGACAGACTTTGGCCCAAAAGCCATAGTCTATCCTTTTAGAGGAATTAGGCAACTGTGAATTCCTCAGCTACCATGCTTTTGCAGAGTGAAAGATGGCAGTTTTTATACAAGCCCTAGGTAGGAAAAATCTACCTTTTTTCAGCCAAAGCCGATGTTGGGGGTGGGCTGGAGTTTTCAGGAAGCAAGACTATTTTGAAACCTACTTCAGCGAGGGCCAGTCCTAGGTGAGATCCTTACCTGTTGCATGCCCCCTCCAAGCAGGTAGCTCATTGTTGCTTTAAAAAGTTTTTCCGCCTAAAACCACAAGGAAAAGATTTCTCTTTTAGTTGGTTGGGCCATACTTCTATATGACCCTGGATTCTAAGTACTAGTCTGATGCATCATTCCCTATTAAACACAACACAGACTCACCCTCACATACACAAAGAGGCAAGTATCCCTATGACCAGAAAACAGACTGAAATACCTAGGCCCCGCCCTCTGTGTACCTTAAAAACTAGTCTGTGAGGAGTAGAAACTTTAGAAATTGACTCTTCATCCAAACCTACTGTGGCAGAAACTGCCAACTATTCCCTAGTATTCCCTCTCCTCTCCATCTTTTCAGTTACAGAATCTCCTCAACGATTAATAGATCAGCCTTCTTTACAGTTGGGTACAGTCATTTAATAAGGTTTTAGCCAAAAGGAATCATCTGCACACGGAGGAATGTGAACAATTTTTAAATCATATATTTTATAAGGACGCTGCTTGCCCTCCATCCTTTCTTCCTTCCTGCAAGCTGGAGGTGAGCCAGCTCATCTACACAGATGAGGGCCTATCCAAGAAAGATCCGGGGCTTCTGGATCATTTCATGGAACACAGGTACACAGGCCTCTTTGGTGTTTAATGACCTCTGGATGAATGCATTAAAAAGAAACATACCTCCTTCACATTTGGGGTCTCTTTGTTACAGTGGCTAAGCCTGTACCCTCACTAATAGCATACCCGTGAAACTAACGCTTCACAAATTCAAGATATTACAAAATGACTTACATTTTCAAGCTGACCCCGTATAAATGCTAAGTTGGCCATCTGAAAGCAAACCACAAATTGTTTTACAGTTTAGTGCAGTGTTCCTTCTTATTTCAAAACCTTTAAGCTAAAGACTCTTTCTTGCTTTTATCCTCTGAGTAAAAAATTGATCAGAGAAAAATATGTCACTAATCTGCTAGACGCAAAATACAGCAATGGTATGAGAATAAATGCTTGCATATGCTTTGTGGATGGCAAACCAAATGTACATCCACTCATTCTTGAAGAAACAAATGTTAATGATATTTGTTTCTTTTTGGTCTGGGATTGAAACTTCTTTTGATGCCCCAAGGGTAACAAAAATTGAAATAAAAAGAAAATTTAGTGAAAACAAAAACCAAGAGCTTTATATTCCTGACAGGCAGGAGAGTAACAACCCTTCTGTCACAGTTAACCCTTTATCAGTGGCTCAGGCTGTTAGTTACCAAATCATAAGTGTAAGTGATGGCCTTCTTATTATTGCTTTGATAGGCAAGACGAAGCGCGTCATGCAAAATTAGCTCAGCCTCTTCTGGCTCATCTTTCATGATGCTCAACTGAAAAGAGAAAAACATGGAGAATTAAGTGTAAAGAAAACACACGCATGTGCTACCAGACAGAAGAGGATATGGCTATACATCCCAATACACAGAAGGGAGCCATTCATTCATTTATCAAATTATTTAGTGAATTCCTACCATACGCCAAGCATTAGATCTGCAATGTTGACATGGAGGGCAGCCTCCCTTGCAGCCATGTGTGGCCGTATGACAAACTTTTGGCCAACAGATGCAAACAAAAAGAATGTGAGCAATTTTTATATTATACTTTCTAAGAAAGCTCTTTGCTCTACCTCCTCTCTCTTCCTGCAGGCTGGAAGTGACCCTGTACAACAAATAATTAGCTTAATTACAATTAATGATAAAAGCTATGAAAAAAGTAATGACAAAGAACAGTAAGGGTCTCCTGTAAATGGGCGAGCCTGAGAAGGATGAGTGTCAACCGAATAAGGAATTGTGGGGGGAAATGACCCAAACAGAGAGTGAGGAATGAGCAAAGGCCTTCTAGGCTAAAGAATATGGTTCTTTTTTTTTCCTTTTAAGATTTTATTTATTTACTTTTAAAGAGGGTAAGGGAGGGAAAAGCAAAGGGAAGCATCGCCATGTGAGAGAAACAGCAACTGGTTGCCTCTTCCACTCCACCCACCAGGGATGTAGCCCGCAACCCAGGCATGTGCCCTAACTGGGAATTGAACCAGTGGCCTTTGAGTTTGCAGGACCATGGCCAACCCACTAAGCCATACTAGTCACGACAAGAGTATGTTCCTTTAAGAACCATTCAAGAAATGAAAAGAAACAGATTGGAAAGAGAAGATGGTGAACCAGAGAATTATTCTCAAATACGTGAGCAAGGTAGGGTGGTGTCATGTTGGGTCTTGCGGGCCATGACAAGGAGTTTGAATTTTATCATAAATGCAGTGGGAAGTCGTTCAAAGTTTTCAAGCAAGAAGGTGATATGATCTGATTTACTTCTTTAAAAAATCACTCTGACTGCTGCACAAAGAATGGAATGTAGGGGGGCAATAGGGCAGGGAGACCAATAGGTAGTAGGCTGTGACAATATGGCTAGGGTGCTGGCAGGGAAGATACAGAAAAGGGGGCTGATTTTCCAGATTTGGTGGCAAAAGGATTTACTGCTGGACTGTGAGTGCACGGGGACGCAGTGGAAGCACCACAAGTTTTAAGAATGACTATGAGGTTTCGAGGCTGAAAAACTGGGTAGACGGTAGTAAAGAGACGATGGTGAAGGAAATGTGTTGAGAAGAAATTTAAAATCAAGAGTGTAGTATTGGGCAAGTCGGAGACGGAGGCAGAGCCTCAAAGTGGAGATGGCAGGTCGGCAGCACAGTGCAGCATGAGAATATAAATTTGGACCGTCGGCATCAAAGTGGTAGTTAACCCAATAGAAGAACTGAAATGACCTAGGAAGGAGAAGAGAAAGTAGGAAAGAATGTGGTGAAAACGAAAAGTTTAGAAATCAGAGAACGGAACCGCTCACAACCAACAGTAAAATTCATTTTCAGGACATCAAATACTGTACATGAAAAATTCTCTATGCCCGACCCTTCAAGTGGCTGGTTCACCGACAAAAACCACAAAACATTTCTGCTGATTTTGTTTAAAAGAACGACGCCTGTGGTGCCATTTCCATCTGCACCCGAGACTGCAGCGTTTTACTGCAAGCTGTCGAGTCTGACCAGCCTGGATGGGTTCCAACACCGCCTCGCTCCCCCCATAACCCATCGACGGCCCTCGGAGCCTCCGTCGAGTCTTCGGCACACTGGGAAGGCAATGCGCATCCCGAAGGCCGCCTCACCTTGGCTCGCTTCAGCAGCAGGATGATCTCCGCCTCGGTCTCGTCCGCCGCACCCTCGGCGGCCGCCGCGCCCGCTCCCTGCCGCTGCTCTTCCTCCTCCTCCTCCGCTGCGGCGGGCCTCGAGAACCACGCCAGCCCTGCGGAAAGGGGCTCCGAGGTCACCGGCCCGGCCCGTGCCGGGTTCCCCCCGCCGGCTCCGCCCAGCCCGCAGCCCTCACCTGCCAGCAGCGGCAGCAGGCCGGAGCTCCTGCCCGGCGGCGCGACTCGGGCTGGCGGCATCGCCACCTCGGGTGCCCTACCCGCGGCCGGCCCCGGCAGCAAGTGCGCCGGACAGACCCGGCACCGCCCCGCGGCCCGCCAAAAGTCTCGGCACAGGCTACGGCTCAAGAGCCGGTACATGGCCGCGCCGCGTCCTCTGCGCACTGCAGGACCGGCCAAATACCGAGACGTCCTGCGCGGAGCGCCAGCGCTCGCAGGGCTGGTAGGGCCGTGACAAACCCAGAAGCGACTGCCCTGCCGTCCGTAGGCGCGATGACGCAAGTAAACGTCACGACGCCGCGCCCCGCCCCTGACGGGAGCTGGTAGTCCACAGATAGGTTGGGGCGTTTGCTCCCGCTAGGCTTTCGGAGGCTGCATGCGGTAGAGCCATGGCTGCCGCCTTGCCAGGGGTCACGTTGCCGGCCGTCGTGGAGGAACTCCTGAACGAGATGGCCGCGGCGGTGCGGGAGAGCGCGCGAGGTGAGAGCCGGAGGCGTGCGGCTGCGTGGCGGGCAGTGGGTGGGGGCGGGTTCCCCCCCGCCGGGGGGCGGGGGGCGGGGGGCGGGAGGCGGGAGGCGGGAGGCGGGAGTCTGCGGGCCCGCGGGGCGCCGCGTTCGGGGCCCGGCGCTCCCCTCCCCCGCCTGCGGGTGCTTGTTTTCCGTGTGGTTGTGTCCAAGTCCTCTTGTTCGTTTGAAAAAAAAAAGGGGGGGGGGGATGAGGAGGAAAAGGGGAAGAGGACGGGGGGAAGAAAAGAGAAAAGCTAAATTTGCCCAGGGATCGGCGCGGTTGCTGGGTGCACCCCTCATCGGGAGGTGGGCGGCCCAGGGGAGGACCGGGGGCTGAATCGCTGAGCAGGTCCTGGGGCTGGAAGGATGGAAGGGACGGGAGCCTGCAGGAGTTCATAGAAAGGCAACATTTGAAGTTGTTAAACGTTCCTGTACTCTTTTTCTCAGAATCTTCTGTTAACTTTAAGCCCCTCATACACTTTCTTGAGCAAATATTTTAGGGCCACAAAACCCAAATGCACAGGCAGTGTGACGGGTAAATCTGAATTGTGTGCAAGTCCCTTTTTCCCCTCCGACCGGCAGAGGCCGCTGTGCGGCCTTGCGCACCAAAACCACCGCGACGACCTCAACGAAGACAGTGTGAAGAGGATACTGGAATCCAATGCGTCGGCTATTTTAACTACTCATCCAGTGTGAAAATGGACAGTTAATAAATAGGAAAATAGGTCTCAATTGCCATTTCTTATTCACTGCTCCAGGGTTGGTTTTTTTTTTAATTTTTTGATTTCAGAGAAAGAAGAAAAAGAAAACCACCAATTTGTTTCCCTTATTGGTGCCTCCATCCGTTGATTCGTATATGTGCCCTGACGGGGCTCGAACCCCCATCTTGGCGCATTGGGCTGACGCTCTAACGGCCAGGGTCCGTGGACTGCACTTTTTAAAGAATTGAGAAGAGTTCGCCAGTCTTTTTTCTCATTTCAGTTAAAACTAAGGATGTATACACACACATACCTAGGAGATCAGGCCAGCCAGGTGTTCAGACACGTTCTGATCCCAAAAGGGCAGGGAAAAAGTCAGTCCGTTGTCAGCGCCAACCGCGGTTGCCAGACGGGGGGCCGCGGCCGCGCGTGCGCCGGCCGTGGCAGGTTTGCCGTGTGCCCCTGGCAATGACCGCGCCGGCCGAGGGACCGCCGCCGCTGTCGTGTTCATTTTCAGCAGAACTGTTTTCTGCTGCTTAAAAATCTTTGTGCTAGACAGTCATAAGCTCTTCCTGACCCCCATCTTTCCGTGGTAATATTTTCAGAGCAAGATTCTGAGTGCCTTTGTAAGATGATGGAAAATCTAGTCACAGCTGAGCCACATGGGAAGCTGTGGTTACTTTTCCTTCCCTGTGCGACGTTCCATTTTCCCTGGAGTTACAACTGCCCTGCTTGTGTTTGTGTGCGCTCGTTTAATTGCCTGTGTATTTATCCCTAATTCAACCCCGAACTCGTCCTCCGTGTTCGAAGTCTGTGACCAAGGAGCTCGCCTGATCGGGAGGTCGCTGCCGTCTCGCTGCCCGGGGAGTCGCTCCCAGAGCCTTCGGACCTGCCCTGGTGGGGACTGGCTGCTCCCCGGCTGTCTCTTGCGATCTCCCTTCACCATTTTTATCCTGAGAATTCCCATCCCCGATGTTGAACCTTGTATCTCTACAATTTTCTTTTTCTTAGTTTGCTGTTTTATTTTATAGGCCCATACTGTGGTAACTTTCTGAAGAAAAATGAGAGAGATGTTTTTTAAGTCTTTACATGTCTGAGAAGAGTGCTTTTTTTGTCCTCACACTTAACTGATAGTTTGGCAAAGTATTGAATTATATGTTGGAAATAATGTTTCTTCCGGCTTCCGAAAGCATCAGTCTGCCAACTTCCGGCCAGCCGCCTGCGTCACCCCCGCCTCCGGGGCTACCGCCTGCCGCCAGTTTTGAGGGCTTTTTATGCGGGTGGGGAGGTAGTGGGTACAGGACTGTAAATCAGATCGTTGCTTGGCTCTCATCATTGCTTTAGATTCACTTTCCTCAGGTTTTGTAAATTATTTTCCAACATATCTTAGACATTGTTTCTACCTGTCCTGTTATCCTTGGCGGTTTATGCATTTTATTTTATTTTTTTAAGATTTTATTTATTTACTTTTAGAGGGAGGGGAAGGGAGGGAGGAATAGGGAGGCAAATGTCCATGTACAAAAGAAACATCCACCAGTTGCCTCTCATGTGCCCCCAACTGGGGACCTGGCCTACAACCCAGGCATGTGCTTTATTTTTAAAAAAGTATTATTTAGTGGAGTATTGGGAGGGAGTACAATTAGATACATGGGTTCAATGCACCATCATCCACAAAAGCCTTTTTGGTTATAGTCTTTTTTTTAAAAAGATTGCATTTGTTTGTTTTTAGACAAAGAGGAAGGCAGGAAGAGAGGGAGAGAAACAAGTGTGCGGTTGCCTCTCTCCCGCCCCCTACTGGGGACCTGGCTTCCAACCCAGGCATGTGCCCTGCCTGGGAGTGAAACCAGCGACCCTTTGGTTCAAAGGCTTATCCTCAATCCACTGAGCCACACCAGGGCTGTCTTTTTTAGATTTTTAAAACATTTTTTTATTGATCGAGCCCTGGCTGGTGTGGCTCAGTGGATTGAGTGTTGACCTGCAAACCAAAGGGTTGCCAGTTCGAGTCCCAGTCAGGGCTCATGGCTGGGTTGCGGGCCAGGTCCGCAATAGGGGACGCGCGAGAGGCAATCACACATTATTCGTCTTCTTTCCTCTCTTTCTCTCTCCTTTCCCCTGTCTCTAAAGATAAACAAATAAAATCTTTTTTAAAAAAATAGGAATAATAACCAATTTAAGAAATTTTTTATTGATTGATTTTAGAGAGGAGGGGGAAAAAGAGAGAAAGAGATTTGTTGTTCCACTTGTTTATGCATTCATTGGTAGCTTCTTGTGTGTGCCCTGACTAGACATCGAACCCACAACCTTGGTGTGTCAAGACAACGCTCTAACCAACTGAGCTTCCCGGGCAGGACTCTTTTTAAGATGTTTATGTTTGCAGTCACTGGTTTAACATGGTTAACTTTCTTTCCATCCCTGTTTTACAGTTCCTGATGAGCATCTATTATCGTAAGTATCCTGCTGTATGTGGGGGGTTTTAGTCATTAATGTGTTTTAAAAGCCAAGTCCTTTTAACATCAATTCTTGATTTTTAAAAATATTCCTACTAAACTAGGAACACTATTTTCTTGACATGATTATTAAAAACCTGTTTCAAGTGAATAGCCAAAACCATATTTGATTGTACAAGGCATTCCCACATTGTCCTCTATGCCACTTTTGTGTGACATTGTTCTAGAAGTGTAACTGTTATGAGAAATTAGATGTATATCTAACTGCAACTAAGGACAATTGTCATTATTTATAGGTGATATAACTACTTTTTTAAACTGAGGATAAAGTTATTTTTTAATATAGAAATTAAAAATGTTTTTCCTTCATACACAAAGTTCCAAAAATATAATTACATTCTCAATAGCAACAAAAAAGTGAAAGCTACCTAGGAATAAAGGACATTTAATTGCATATATACAGCTATGTTTAAAAGTCCACAGGAATATACACCAACCTATTCTAGTGATTATCGTAGTGGAAATGAAGGAGGTAGAATTTAGAGAAGAACTTTATCCTTTTTTCTGTTTTTTTAAATTGCTTTTACAAAGATTATGTTCTAAAGAACCCATATGATCTCAGAATTATCTGTAGATAATCTCCATATGTTTTTTCTAATAATACATTATTAGGAAAAAATTACTATTTTTAAAACAAAGAAAATAGGCAAATAATAAAAGAATGCGTATTACCAAAAACTTTGAGGAAAAAGCTGTCTCAGTAGTCGTCATAAAAATACAAATTAAAATAGTAAGATAACTTTCCATCTATAAAACTGGCTGTCCCAGAAGAGATGTTGGTAAGAAGGTTCCAGGTGTCGGCGAGAGCACGGAGGGAAGGGTGGCGGACAGCCCGGCGCCAGGAGGGTGCGCTGGAGGGGGATCTGGCGGCAGCAATAGGAGCCTTAAAACACACGTATCCGTTTACCCAGGGTTGCATTCATAAGCGTGTGTACCAAGGAAGTAATCTGGGATGTTCATAAAGATTTTGCAGTGAACCTATTTTTCCATATTGTTTATGATAGCAAAAAAAACAAACATGAGAACAGTCTAATTCAGATTTAACTAACTACCCAAAATAGAGTTTGGGAAAACTAAAACTAATTCATCTTTACAGTGGAATTCTTTGTAGCTGTTGAAAGAGATACAGAAGAACACCGCCTTCAGGAGACGGTTGCGGTGTGTTGCGAGGCGGACAAGGCAGGCCCAAACAAGCCTGTTGCATCCATTTTTAAAGTTAGTTAGTTAACTGGGACTATCTCTACTAAAGTCATCACCAGATTTTTTCTCTGTCCATAAATAATCTCCATATGTTTAATGTAAAAAATTGAAAAGGTCTTCCCATTCTAGTAGTTTATTGTCTATAGAGAGACTGGTTTATTGGAAAATGAAGAAGTGGAACATTTAATTTTGAAGTCTTAGCAGTTCTGTCTCTTTAGTCTGTGTCAAAATATATGGGTTCTTTAAAGCATTTAACTTTTCAGTTTTAATTTAACCCAACCATTTTATTTCCCAGTTTATAAAAATAATCCATACTTTAAACAAAATGTTCTTGGAAAATAAAACATGAAAAGTATCAACAGTCATACCAGCCAGTGATAATCACTGTTACATTTTGGTTTATTACTTTCTGTTTTTTTAAAAAAGTTTTATTTTGAGGTAATTGTAGTTTTTTAAACAATTAATACGATCAAGATTTCTAAATTTACAGTTTTGTGTCTGATCTTTGTCGCCTAACATGAGAATTTTTCCACTTTTTTTAATACATCATTAACAGCTGAATGGCCTTTATTACTAATCAAAAAGTACAAATTTAACACTCATCAGATGGTCAAACATGAAAACATCTAATAGTGATGTTGGTGAGGAGCCGGAGAAAAGAGTGCCTCTGCCGTGCGGCGGGAGTGCTGCTCCCACTGTGGGCGGCCGCTGCCAGCACCCGTTAAAACTGAACGTGCACGTATCCTAAGACCCAGCAATTCTGCTTCTACTTAAACCAGGAAAAAATCTTGCCTGTGTACTAAAGGTATAATTAAGTATTTATAAAAGTATAAAATGAAAACAATCAGAATGCCCATCAGTAGAGTTCTTAAACTACAGAGTATGTACATACTATTTTTATATCTATAATGGAATATTACAGGTTAATTTTTTTAAATATATATATCAGCATGCATCATTTCCGAAAACATGTTAAATAGGAAAAAAGTTACCAAAAGCCTACAATACACCTTTTGTTTTAAAACTTATAAAACAATATCATATGTGTAATATGTGTGTATATGCATGCAAATATACATATACACAGGCACTGTGTATAATAAAATATAAAAACATTAATAGGAAGGAAACCAACAAATGCTTGTGGTTATCTCAGGAATGAAGAAAGTTTGGGAAAAATAGGAAGCACTACAAGGCATAAAAAGGGCTTCTTTATAAATAGCATGTTAACATTTATCCTGGGGGATTGATTGCATGGGTTTTTGCTAAATTACCTTTTTTCCCAAACTAAAATGAATTAAGTTTTTTAAAAATGTTGCTGGTGATCCTTTGGGTCAAGTTACTGAGGGGATTGAGAGCAGGCAGTCTGACCTGAAACCTTTCTGTTTCCCAGGCTGAAGTTTGTGTTTGGCTCATCAGCCCTCCAGGCTTTGGACCTCGTTGACCGACAGTCCATCACTTTGGTCTCATCGCCCAGTGGGAGGCATGTTTACCAGGTAGAAATCTAGAGGTGGGGATTATCTCAACAGAAACCCTTTTGGACAAAATGTTTCCAAGAATCTCTATAGAAGCTGGTGACCAGCCTTAAGTATTTCCTGCACTGTTGAAAAGCATTTGAACCAACTTAGTAAAATTAGTGTATTAGTTGTTAAAATAAGATAGATATGGCCTGTTAACTCTACACAGTAGCACTGTACAGATCCGCCAGTGGTGTGGAGGGGCTCTTTTTGCAGATCTAACGGAGCGGAGTTGACTTCCACTTTCCTGTTGTTTGATAATAGAGGTACTGCCCCTACCCCACCCTCCGCCCCAAAAATGTGCTGACATCTACGTCTTGTTCATTATCTCTTGCTTACAAGCAAGGGTCAAAATGCATTTTGAGGTCCTTCCACATGCTCATATTCATCAGACATAATCTTTTAAAATTGTTTTCAGGGGATATTTACTAAGGGTCAAACCACAGTGAATGCGGACAGCCTGCTTGGACCCGCGCTTTGCCTGGGTCTCTGGAGTCGAGAGTTTAACACAGGTAGATTTGTAAAGTGACAGCCTCTTATCAGGCTCTGAATTACTTTCCTGTGTTTTTGATCACTCTCCTCAAAAGCCCATTTTCAGGAAACTGAGATGCAGAAAAGCAAACTAACAGTCACAGCTGGCAGCTAGGGTTTGTAGCTGCGGTCCCACGCTGCGTGTCTTTGTTAAACAGCGAGCCAGACTCCAGCCCAGCCTCGCAACCTCCAGCTTAGCTGTGGGAGGCAGTGGTGAGTGCATCTGGCATCGAGGGAGGGGAATGTTGTGAGTGAAATATTAAAATTAATCAATTAAAAATATTAAAAACATTTATTTTTATTTTCCAAATTTTTGTATCTGGCTTGAAAGGGGCTAAAAAGAAGCTGTCAACTCTTATAAAGGTAATTCAGGCCTTGGTGAAGACCAGGAAGGGGGAGATATTTCAGTGTTTGGACTCTGGCTTATTTCCATGGAACTTCTCAGAGCTGAGACCATGCCAGCTAATTTGTTGCGAGTGATTGACATGAGCCAAGCCTGCTTGGGAAGCAGGTGCCTTGGCGTAGCGGACTAGCCTGCCATTCCACGTTGTAGCGTAATGTAGCTGACCTGGCAAAATCTTCATGCGTTTCTTCATTAAGGAAAATGGGGTAATTAGTGTTGAATGCTGCAGTTAAAACTTTTGGATTGTATTTACTTAAAAGGCACTACATATTAGAATTTTCCTGGTGAATTTATAGATTAAATAATAAGAGCTATTAAATAATGTTTGTACCTGAGGAGGTATTTTCATTGTCTTTTTTTTTTCTTCTTTAAAGGGCAGTGCTATTTTTTTATTCAACATTATCTTACAAAAAAAAATAACCAAAACTGTGTGCAGAACCAGGTAGAATCCCGGCCTGTTTGGCTTCTGTATGAACCACAGCCACTCACCCCCAGCCCTGCGGGGACCCCCAGGGCAAGGCACATGGTGGCCCTGCACACGTGGCCTCTGGACTTGGCCAGCAGTGTCCACCCAGAGCCCCACCTCATGTTAAACAGCAGGCTCAGGTCAGGTCTCCTGGCATCAGGCATGCTCTGACCTGCTGTTAGGTCCTCAGCAGGCCAGACTGCTCTGGAAACTGCCTTCCGCCCAGGTGCCCGGGAAGGTAGTGAATAAAGGTGACTGGACAAAGAGTGGCCCGCCCTGGAAGTGGTTAGTGGAACTCTTTCCCTCCGCACTCCTGGCTGTCCCCGGGCGGCAGGGTTCCCAAGGAGGCCAGCACGGCTCCCCAAGTGGGAGCTGAGGCAGAGAGGAGCGAGGCTGTGGCAGCAGGAGTGGGCACCAGATTTTGTCGCTGAGATCTTAGAGGCTGAGGGCTGGTGCCTGGAGAGGCTCGGGCATGCTCTGTGGGGCGGGGCAGCGGCCTGCAAGGGGCCAGCCCCCAGTAAGCGTCTCACAGAGGCAGGTCATTGGCTTCGCAAGAGGGGCGCTTCCCACCACCCAGGGGGAGAGGGGAGCTGGAGGAGGGAGAGTGAGGCAGAAGCACAGGGAAGAAAACAGCACCCCACCCCTGCCGCTCCCCTCTGTGCAGCCGCCGGGCGGGCCTGGCTGAGCATGAGGCACGTGGGGACCCCCCCACATTAGGGCCTTTAGCATCCTAAAGGGAGGAGCAGGGCAGGACCAGCCAGTGCAGGTCTGTGACCTCAGCAGTTCCTTCCACTGACCCAGCAGGTATCTGCCCTGTCACGTGGCTGTCTTAGCCCCAGCTGCCGCCACAGTCTTGACCTCTGCCACCCTTCTCTTGTTGGGAGCAGCCGGCCTCACTGCAGTGGCAGCCAGCATCCAAGGCTCACTGGGGTCTCACAGTTCCTGTCTCCCTGGTGTCCTGCATCCTGTCCTGCCCTGCCTCTGGCTCCCGTCCTCAGTGTCCAACCTCAGAAACCATCCTGGTCATAGAGGGGTGTCCCGGGGATGGCAGAGGATGAGCAGCAGACAAGGAGCCAGTCACGCGTGGAAAGCGGTCAAACAAGTGTGGAGGCGGGGCATCGGGGCCACAGAGGGTGGGGCAGCTGAGCGCTGGGGGCTCGGGCCCTGACCTCACAGAGCCCTGACCATGTACAGGCATCACAGGTGAGGGAGGACCTGGGCCTTCTGAGGTGAGAGGGCGGGGGGCCACCAGACCAGTCTAGGACCCCTGTGGGTGAACCAGACCCTGATGGGGCCGGGCATGGGAAACCTGGCACTCAGGCCCTGCTGGGTGACCTTGGCAGACCCCCTCCCCTCTGCCCTCAACCTCAAGAGGCAGGGCTGAGTCGCCGCCCTGTAGCTGCTCCGCCAGAGACCTGGCCCTTGGGAATGATGGGGACAAACAGGGATGTGAGGGGACACTGCAAAACCAGTGGGGCACTGAGCAGTGTCTCCAGCAGGGCCTGAGAACCCCCGCCAGGGACCACTCAGGACACTTCTCCGAAGGCCTGCTGTGTTAGGAGGTGTTCGCCACATGTCTGCTGAGCCGGTGGGCATCAGGGACCAGAGGCGGCCCCAGAGTGCTCTGGAAAAGCCTGGAACCACTCCAGCCGGGCAGTGACATAGTGTCCCCACAGAGGCCGAGATGGGCAGGGACCGTGAGGGTGGCACTGAATCGAAGCCCCAGACCACAGAATGTGCTGGCACTGGGTCTCTGTGCCCCCACCCTGGGGAGGCCCCGTGAGGTGGAGAAGAGCCTTTAAAGCCCAGCGCAGGAAGGACAGCTTCCTCCGGGCAAAAGCTCAGGGGGCGTGGACTCCCTGTCAGCTGGGCCGAGTCCGGATTTTTCAAACTAATGGGGATGGAGGTGTACGGCCTCCAAGTTCTGGGCTCAGTTTCCCCTACGTAAGTTACGCTTGGACTACGATTTCTTAGGGCCCGTCTCTCAAAGGCCTCAGGCTTCAGGATTCTCAGTGGCACCACGAGGGCTAGGGTGAAGGGCGGCACCCACTGCTGTACCCCTGGGGCCCCACGTGGGCCTGGCACGGAGGGCTCTGGCTTCAGGGTCATCCTCTGCTTGGGATTTTACTCCTCCTTCCCAGGACCCCCGCCACTCCCCCATACACACACACGGGGGGTTTGGTGATGCCTGTGGGGAATGGCCCCCCTGGGCAAGCACTGCGTCCTGGACATAGCTGGTGTGGCCAAGAAGAACTAGCCCAGCCTTGTCTGGAATGTTTGGTTAAATAGTGATGAAAAGCTAGGAGGGGCCCTGGCTGGTGTAGCTTAGTGGATTGTGCTCCGGCCTGCAAACTAGAGGGTCGCCGGTTCAATTCCCAGTCAGGGCACGTGCCTGGGCTGCAGACCAGGTTCCCAGTTGGGGGCACACGAAAGGCAACCACACATTGATGTCTCCATCTCTCCTTCCCTTCTCCTCTCTTTAAAAATAAAATCTTTTTAAAAAAAGAGAACTAAAAGGAGCAGAGAGTTCAAAAAGAGGCAGCCGGCACCCTGAGCAGGGGCCCTGGCTCTGGGCCTTCCAGCCCTCAAAGTTCTGTGATTTCATTCCAGTGCCTGGGGCCTGGGGCGTGGTATAAAGTGTCTGTGGATGGGGCGCTGGGCCACTCCTGCGGGTCTCGGTGCAGCCGTTTGTGCCTAGACCGGTAACACTCCTCCAGCTTGCAGAGGTCAGTGGGGGTCCTGTCCCACAGTGATGAGCTTCTGGTCGGTGGCGCTCCTGAGCGCTGGCCGCTGCGAGTTGCACTAGTCAGTGCCTGGTTGACCACCCGGAAGTCATTCAGGATGAGGAGCTGCTTGAGGTCGGACATGAGCTTCACCAGGGACTCGCCGGCTTGGACCTGGGCGGTCTTGATCTTGGCGAAGCTGGACTTGGTGTCGTCTTTGAGCTGCTTGTTGTAAGACTGCAGCAGCGTCTCCTTGCTGTGTGGCAGGGCCTCCGTCAGTGGAGGGAGCGGAGGCCTGGGGCCACGAGGCAGCACCCTGTCCGCAGACCCCGCCAGGCAAGGGGGGCACTTGGCCAGGGTGGGGTGGGGGGCGAGCGAGCACCCCTCGAAGTCCCGGCTCCCTGACGCCTCTCCACGTCTTGCTATTTTCATTTTCTTTCCTTATGTTTTTATTTTTGTTTTTTATATAGCTAAAATACCCTGGACAGGAAGGACCTTTGAGTTTTTCCCATGTCTTTTAGTTTCAGCTTTTTTGTCTCAGTTCCAGTATCAGCATAACACTTGACCCGCCCAAGTAGACTCCAGCTGTCCTCTAGCCCTGTGATCTAGTCGTTAGTTAAAATCTTAAAGATTTTGTTTGAAATATTTCAGTTACTGTTGACTTTTTGTTCTCCCAGGATTACCATGACTGGTTTTTGTCATTCATATCCTGTATTATATTACATTGCTTTATTTGTCATAAAAATGCTAACTTCCTAGAATTATGGCCCTCAGCTTGGACTTTGAATTAAATGAGGTTGTAGAAATTGTACATGCACCCTCAGATCCACCGTATGGTCTCATTGTATTGTAATGTAGTGAGAATTTGGGTTAACTCAGAGGTCCTATGAGATGATAAAAGTTGAGTCGGGTGCTGCCTTGCTGCCCTGCTGTTGGCTTCCATAGGTCGGCCTGCTCACGTCCTTGCCGTCTTCCAGGTATAACGGTCATTATGTGAAAGTCACCATCATGATGTTGTCACCTGAGTTGCTTTTTTATAAACTTTTTTGGTTCACCTAGGAAGGGGGATGTGTTAGTCAGGAGAGGCTAAGTCATGCTGTGGTAACAATGACCCCAAAATTTCAAAGGTTTACAAAAACAAAGTTTTATATGTCATTCATGCTGCATGCCCATTAAGAGCCAATTGCAGCTCTGCTCTAAAACATCTGTACTCGGGGCCCCAGTTTGTGGAGAAGGCCCTCCCTGTCTAGACATTTGTGGATCTCATAGCAGAGGGAGAAGAGGACGCGGTGTGCACCGGTTTTTAATGTTCTGCCTGGCTACTCACATTCTTCTGGCCAAAGCAGGTTACATAATCAGCCTATTTGCAACAGGGCAGGAATGTGCAGTCCTCCTTCAGAGAGAGGCCCCGAACTGGAGGGCAACAAAGAGCACAGTTAACTACTGTGATGGGTCCCAAAAGGCTTGGAGCAGTCATAGAACTGTACTGTGCCCTGGCCAGGGGGCCCAGTTGGTTGGAACGTCATCCTGTGCACCATAAGGTTGTAGGATCTGCCCTGGCCAGTGCAGGCTCAGTGGATTGAGTATCAGCATGCAAACCAAAGGGTCTCCGGTTCGATTCCCAGTGAGGGCACGTGCCTGGGTTGCTCCCCAGCTGAGAGAGCACAAGAGGCAGCCACAACTGGATGGATGTTTCCCTCCTTTCTCCCTCCCTTCCCCTCTGTAAATCAATCAATCAGGCAGTCAATCTTCAAGAGGTTGTGGGATCGATCCCTAGTGAGGCCTGCGTACGGGAGACAACCGATCACTGTCTCCCCCCCTTCCTCTCTCTGTAAAATCAATAAATGTATCCTTGGGTGAGGGCTTTAAGAAATGCACTCTGCGGGATGGCAGCTAAGGTGGATGACCCTCCATAGAGCCGCACAGCAGCCACAGCAGACTGACCTCTGAGCGGCACGCCCACTGGCCAAGCACGGGCCTCAGTGCCCACCTTCCCTAGTGTTTCTCCTATAGAAAGCTCTCTCCTTCCTGGGATATACTCCAGACTCTTGGTGGAGAACTAGGAGCAATTCCTGTAAGAGGTCATTTTTCTGTTGAACGGTGAAGGAATTAAATAAGGTGGTCCCTAAGGTCAATTTCCAGTTCTAAACTTTTCTAACTCAGATTTTTTTCCTGATTATTGGGTTCAGCAGTTGTCCACTGCTAGATAAGGAAGGAGCAAATTCATAATTTGCTGTCTCCTCATGGTATTTACTGCGTCAGGCAGTTAAACATTGTATTTTTAGTCTTAGCCAGCCTTTGAAAGGATCAGGCAAGGGAAACCCTGTAGAAGTTCTCTCCGTCTCTGAGTCACCAGGCATTTACTACTCAACATAATCCAGAGAGTATTCGGACAGTTTGGCAACCCATGGTAAGAAGGAACCAGTGGACCAGACAAGTCAGTGTGGAATCCCAGGGGCTTGTGCCTGCCTCACTTTGTATCTAGAGAGATCAGGAGATACCCGAAGTCATTCATTGGTAACGATTTGGAGAGCTAAGAATTACTCATGTCACTGCTGGATGTTGATGGGTTTTCTTCCAGGATTAAGTGGAAAAGTCTACTTTAATGTTCTCCCTTAAGGTTAAGTTTTCCAAGACACGCTGGAGGCATTCCTTCACTGATACTAAGTGGTATAGGTGATGTTTAAATCATCAGTGCCTCATAATGGAAATTATGTAAGATGTGATGATTTTTTTTTTTTTTTTTGATACTTAATTTGTAACCAAGGCTGAAATTCTTAATGGGCATAATAGGCATCTTCTTACCCAGTCACTGGCCATTTCTGGTAGCTGAGGAATTCTACTGAGCTGGTCAGAAAGCCATGGCGAGTGGCCACATTGTGGATCACGAGACGGCTGACCGGCTGACCGGCGCACTTGGACAGTGCGATTCTTTGGTTGAAGCCTCCCCTGTGGCTTTATTTTTTTGTGGAGGAGACAGAGGAAAGAATCCTGGGAGTGCTGGCATTATAATATTTTCAAAATAACAAAAAGCCCTGCCCTTTTTATTTGAGGCTGCCATCTTGAGCCTAAAACAAATTTGAAAGCACTGGGCAGATTCCTGAATGGCAGCCGACTGTGGAGTAACCCTCGGGATGTTTCTGCTTCCCTTGGATACTAACTTTACCCTTCAAGTTTAGATGTTAACCGCAGGAATGAAGCACTCAGCATCTTTGTTTCGGGCTGTTTTGTGATAGAGACTTAAACAACTGAGTTCTCCAATAAGTCTGTCACAGATACCTAATGTTTTCCCCATCCGCCTTCTTTTTTTTGTCCCTTGGTTGCCAATAGGCTGTTGGTTTTGGACGGACCTCTCCCCAGCCCCTCACATATCTATGTCTCCCTCCCATCCTGCGAGATGAACAGATCCGGGCCTGCTCCTCTGAGACCTCAGTCCTGAGCGCTGAGTCATCCCTTCCGCAAAGTTCTTTTTTCTCCCTCCTGCCCTCAAGTGCTTTTCAAAAGCCTTTACCCATCTCCTTCGGAGACCTTTCTGCCTTTCTGCGTCCCTTTAACCTGTTTTCATATCCTCTTAGGCTGTGTGGTGGAAGCTTTAGAAATCTGCACACATGCCGTGAGAAATGCCACAGGTTAAGTAAGAAACACCACAGTGAAGTGTAGATGGGGGAGGGGACCCCCCACCTCTTTATAGTCACCCCACGGAGTCAGCCCTTTGACTCACTAAGTGGAGGAATAAAATGGTTTGTGTGGATGGCTTAACTAGCCTGAAACTTCCGTTGCATTGTATGAAGTCCTCAAGGACAGAGCACCTAGAAGGGGGGTGGGGGGGGAAGAGTCTGCACACAGTGAAGCTGAGTTTCCACTTTTTTGTAAAACAATACTACAGTTCTCCCCAGTGCAATTTGCAAACTGACGAGTCACAAGATAAATTCAAGGGGACTTGAAAAAAAAAGTTCTTAAATGAATTCAAGGGAGGGAGGCCGTTTCCCAGCACACCTTTGAGAGCTTGACCCCGTCCGTCCTTCTTTCTAGGTACTTGGGAGTTCTGGTAGAACGTACTTGTGCTTGGCGTCCTGCCATTACTGCTCCTGTCCCGCCTTTGCCTTCTCAGTGCTGCGGAAGAGCGACAGCCTGCTGGTGAGGGGCGGCTCTGCCCACTGCAGGCCAGGCGAGAGGTTGTGGGCCCTCCTTCGTGGTTTAGGAGTTGTACAAAATGGGAATTCTACCCCATGTTGAAACAGAGAGTTGTTTATTGTCCTTGACTTAAGTTAGTCACCTCTTTTGGTTGTACCCTCCCAAAGTGCTATGTCATTTTTAGAAATACACCAACCCCAAATTTTTTATTTCAAAGGTCGTGGACAAGCCCTGCCTGGTGTGACTTACTTGGTTGGAGCATCGTCCTGTAGACCAAATGATCAGTTTCGATTCCCAGTCAGGGCGCATGCCTGGGCTGTGGGTTCAGTCCCCAGTTGGTGCATGTACAAAAGGCAACTAACCGATGTTTTCTCTCCCTCTTTTTTCCCTTCCCCTCTCTCTAAAATCAGTAAGCACCTCAGGTGAGGATAAAAATAAATGAATGAATGAATGAATGATCATGGATGAGTCATTGGGGAGGACAAGATAATCCTGAAAGACTTGGAACTGAAAAGTTTGCACTGGGGAGTTAGATGGCCCAATAAAAATGTGAACTAAATGTGATGTTGGCAGCCCTGCATGTCCCCAGCTCCAGCCACGAGGTGTCCCCTCACACTGCCTGTCAGGCCCAGCACACAGCCATGCCTGACCGGCACGCGAGGCAGGAGGGCATGTTGATGCTTTCGCCTGTTTCACAGCAGTGCAGAGCATCAAGCAAGGAAAGGGACACACTCACACAACTGTTCCTGAGGAGAAAGCGCTGCCCACCCAAGAGCGGGCAGCTGTTTTTTAAGTCTTGCAAAGGAAGAGATTTATAGCATCCATTCCATTTTTCCCATTTCTTTTACACTGTTAACTTCATTAAACATCTTGGGAACTGGGTGGCCAATTGGGTATCCCATTGTACAAGAGGCCACATTGATAGCTGATATACCAAAAGTTTATTTCACCTGTAAAATGACAACGATTAAGCCAGGCCCCCTTCAGAGAGGCCACATTGATAGCTGATATGCCAGAAGTTTATTTCACCTATAAAATGACACGATTAAGCCAGGCCCCCTTCAACTATCTAAAGCTGTGTGTCCTGTGATACAAGGTGTGGCTTAGATCACCTCCCCAGAGGTGTGTACAGGCCAGTGTGTGCCAGGGCCCTGCCACCTTACCTTCGCTCCCCACCCCACCTCCCCCTGCAGAAGTACAACGCAGTGGCGGAAGGAGTCAGCCAGGTTCTGAGCGCCTGGTTCAAGCAGGGTTAAGAGCAGTTCTCGCGGGGTAGCTGTCAGGTTTAAAGAAGATGCACTGTGAAAGCACCCAACACCACAGTACCTCGGGGAATGTTACCCATTGCTAGTAACAGCTGTCTGAAGGCAAGGGAGAAAGAGCAGAACTGAGGACTAAGAGGAAGAGCCTGTCTTGGTCATATGCCCTGTGCCAGCCTGTTTCCCAAAACAGCGGGCCAAGTAAAACTTTGTGCCCTCTGACTTTTAGAAAGGGTACGTGTCTCCTCTTTATCTGCAGTTTTTAAGCAGTGAGATCAAGGCCCGCAGTCAGTGTGTCCCTCTCCTTTCCTGCCCAGTGGGGTGGTAGTAAGCGGGCTTGGTTAGCCAGGCCCTGCCGGTGTCCAGCGGGTCTGTGTTTTGTGTTCCAGTGCAAGCACCTCTTGGCAGTTTATCTCAGTGAGGTTATGGGGACCTGTCAGCAGCTCAGCGTCTCGGACAAGCAATTGACTGACATATTGATGGAGAAAAAACAAGAAGCATAAAAGGTACAGATTGAGCATCATTATTTTTAAAAATAGAAGTCCTAGAAACAAATGCATTTACTCTATCATGGTTCACAGGGAAGAGAGATGAAATAGATCATCTTTTGGGTCAGCCAGAAATTTCGTTTGGTTTTTTCTGTAAGATGGTTCTAGTAGTGCTGAGTTGTCTTTAACTTCATTCAAAACAGTTTTGTTAGATTATATTGTGACAGCTGTCACATCAGTGTACTTTTTTAAAAAATCAAAATAGGTGAATTTTTGTGTAGTCATTTTAGTATTGAAGACGGAAGAAAATACACATTTTTGACATAGTATGCTTTGTTATTTCAAGAAAGGTCAAAAAGGCAACTGAAGTGCAAAAAAAGATTTGTGCAGTATATTGAGAAGGTGCTGTGACTGATCAAACGTGTCAAAAGTGATTTCTGAAGTTTCGTGCTAGAGATTTCTCACTGGACGATGCTCCATGATCAGGTAGACCACTTGAAGTTGATAGCAATCAAATCGAGACATTAATTGAAAACGATCAACGTTATACCATGTGGGAGATAGCGGACATACTCAAAATACCCAAATCAATAAAGTTATTGGTGAAAATGAAAAATGTGACTTTTATTTTATGGAAAAAACTAAACAATTTTTGGCCAACCCAACAGAAGCTTCTTGTTACTGTTTTTTTCTTCCGGACTGTAGAAAGCACTGTGGGTTGGAACCCAGGATGTGTGTATGATTTGAAACCCTGTACAAGTCCCCTCATGAAAAATCTGAACCAGCCTCTAAGCTACATGGATAAAAATAATTTTTAGATGGAGTCAAGTATTTTAGACTCAAAGCCTAATATGTCTTGTTCACAATTAGATTCTTAAGTAACTGAAGTAGTAATTTTTAAGAGGTTGAAAGGGTAGACAAAACTGAGTAGGATGAAGTAGAGATGAATAAATGTTAGTGCTTTACCTTGGATTAAGAAAATTATTCTGTAGCAGTAAGAGATCGGAGTAGAGATGTGGCTAACCAGCAGCCACTGTAAAAAGGCTTGCTGGGGTTCTGGCGTCAGAGCTTCAGAGACCTGCGGTGCTGGTGCCAAACCAGCTCAAGGAGGCTGTGTCATTGGAATGGCAGTATCTAGACCAAGCAAAGTGCTGGCTTCACTCCGCATGCATTTCTGAGCTGTATATAACAAGCCCAATGAAGGAAGGGACTAAAACTCATGTCCTGGAGGAAGCTTAAGATATTACTGTGGATTTCTTAGTCTGAAAAAGAAAGGGCCAAGGAAATACCAAGAGGCGTGTTAGAAGGTAGAAAATGGGACTTGTTTGGACCCTAAGAGAGTGCAGACGAGTTGTGATACATGAAAATGAGACAGATTCCAGCACAGGACAATAATAAGTAAAGCTGTCCGTCCACAGCCAGAATGGGGTCATAGAAGGGCAGGGATTTGCTGTCTCTGTGCAGGCTCATAAACCTGCATTGTCTTTGCAGGAACATTGCAGAAGCAGTTGAAGCTGTGAAGAAACAGAAGAAAAAGGCGATTTTACAGCCCAGGAAACCCCCAGCCCTGGGCCCTGGAAACAAGGGGTGCCAGTGAATGAATGCTGTGTGAGGCGGCCACAGAGGGTGCAGTGTCGTGTGATTGGCAGAGCCTTTTGTTATGGTGAGGTGTGGCAAATACAAGCTATCAAGACTTCTGCTACTTGGGAAACTTGCACTGGATAAAGAATAGAAGGTACCTACAGCCCTGGCTAGTGTGGCTCAGAGGGGTGAACGCTGGCCTGTGAACCAAAAGGTTGCCAGTTCAATTCCCAGTCAGGGCACATGCCTGGGTTGAGGGCCAGGTCCCCAGTAGGGGGTGCGCAAGAGGCAACCACACATTGATGTTTCTCTCCCCCCAAATCGATGTTTCCCTTTTTGGCTCCCTCCCTTCCCTCTCTGACAGTAAGTAAATAAGTAAATAAATCTTTTTTAAAAAAGATACAGCTCTGTATGACAAGCCAATGCAGCACTGTTTGTTTTCTTTTTAAGTTTTATTTCATCTAATACACATACACAATTGTATAATTTTACTTAGTAAAAACTTCACACTTTGAGATCCAGCAAGTTGGTAAAACCTGAAGTTGGAAGAGAAGTAAAATTCACACCTCGCTCCAGGTGGGAGAAATGGAATCTAGTAGAAGGATCCCATTTCCCTGGTTTCTTTCTCTAGGGTAGTTTGATGTACATGGAAAAGCATGTTACCGAAATTATCTGATGTTCTACTTAAGAACTTACAAGAGTATCATTTCCCTCAATTGATATAATAGTTTCTTGATTAAAGAATTATACTTAATGTTCTTGATTTCCTTCCTAGAAATAGGGATATATTTTTAGTTACATCCAACTTTTATTTTCCCATTGCCTCTAAGTTTAAAAAATGTTTGTATTATAATAGTTCACAGTGTTTCACAGTAAAATAGTTTCATTTTCTACCATGAATGAGGCAGACTTTAAGATACAAAACATTCTTTTACAATCTAATCAAGCTGTCAGTATCATCCACATAGTAAGAGCAGCCATACATACTTGTCACCCCTACGAACAACGTGTACGCATCAGATACATGGTAACTCCAGGGGAGGTGCTCAAAACAGGCAACCCATGTGCTCATGAGGCCTGTCTTTCACAATGAGAATCAGCCAGTTGTGTCCTGTCCCTTTGCTTATTGTGCATTTGTGCATTCTGAAGAGGACAGAGCCTAGTCATAGGCCCACGTCAAGAGCAGGCTCAGCCCCTGCCTGCCCGTTCCCGCTCTTGAAGACACTGGTGTGGCAGAGAATGTACCTGGAGATGATTTTGTGAAAAGTACAGCGGAAGTCTCTGTTCCTGTAGGCATAAACAATGGGATTGACAACGGAGTTGGCATGTGACAGGAGAATGGCCATGTTCATGGCCCACCTGGGCTTATTCTTAGCCTGCGCTGGCTGAAAAAGAGTGACACAGTTGATGGCATGTACTGGTATCCAGCACAAAGCAAAAATCCCAACGATCATGGCCAGGGACTTGGCAGCGTGGATCTCCCGCTGGAGCACGGTCCGCGAGTGGTCCATCAGCTCAGGGCGCTGAAGCTGCCTGCAGGCCACCATGAAGATCTTGATGTAGATCACGAGCATTATGAGCAGTGGGGGCAGGACGCACCCAAAGAAATTGAAATACACCATGTAGCTCATGGGGACCACGGTCTCAAAGAGGCACTTGACCAAGCAGCAACTTTCATTCACGGTTCCATTCCAGGGCTTTGTACAGCTGATGGCACTATCTCTGCTGTTCCACCCCAGGAAGGGGGTCAGCCCAATGCCAAAGGCAAGCACCCAGAGGACGGCAATGACTCTTCTTGCCCGGCTCCCCGTGACCAAACTCTTGTATCTGTTCAAAAGAACACCATGTGTTGTCAGTTTACAGTGCTCGGCAACCACAGGCCAGGGGCCCTCTTCTGCTGCTGTTCCTTAGCCTTGACTCCTAATGGCCTCTAAGGCTCATCCCCAAAGAGTGCCGTGGCTGCCTACTCTCAGAGCGAGAGACATGCAGACAGTATGAAGAGCTTTGCTCTAGCAAGCTCAGTAAGACTGCCACTGTTGACTTACCAACTCACCTCTGTTCAGTGACAAATTATGGCCAACGAGACCAAGTATAGAAGTCTCAAAGGGTATTTTCTGATTGCCCAGACCCTGGCCTGTGAATCTGTGCCTTCTCTAAGAGCCCGCTCTAGGTGGCGGAGATAACCCAGTGAGCAAGACACACAAAGGTCCCCATTGACATTCTAGTAGGGGAGACAGATAATAAACATAAGTTAGTAAATTACATGGTATGATAGAAAAATATATGTGAGTATTTTAAAAAGCAGAATAAGGAAGATCAGAACCAGCAGCGATGGTAGTTTTAACCCTGCAGAGGTCACGGTCAAAAAGATTACAGCATAGGTCACGCGTATCTGAATGACACATTCATTACTAGTGTGTGCTGAAATGTGAAGAAAAAAAATTTTTAACTGCGAATTTGCATTTATATGTATATAATAGAACAAGATTATTTTCAGTTACAATCTAGAAATTATTAAACAATGAAACAAAGAATAAACCTTTTTCTTTTCAAATAACAGAAACATGGATATTGCTAAAAAATACAACCACAAATTGTCTTTAACGTTAATTAATCAGGATCTCTAATGGGCTTTGCAAAATTTTAACAGTTGTCACAATATTGCTATGCTCAAGGCATAAATACTTTTCACAGCACTTGCAAAAATGTTTTGATAAGCAACTCATTTTGGGTACAAAGCACCTAACCCATGTTTTTCTGCTTTTCGAGGGAGCCATATCTATGTCATCATTAGAATTTCTTTCAATTTGTGTTAGTCACATGTAAAAGCACAGCTAGTCATGACCTTGAACCTATGCACCTGATCCACGTAACAATATTTGAAAAGAGAATTTGTATCTCACATCAGCCATGACCTCCACAGGGTTAGAAGAGGTCAGTTGAGGGAGGCATAGTGACCAGGTGACACCAGAACAAACGCCTGAAGAAGTAAGGACCGGCTCCTGGAGTCAGGGAGCACTCCCTGGTGGCTCTGGTCAAGAGCCCTCCTGGTTTCCCACAAATACACAGGGGCCTGCCAAGGACTGCGGAAAGAGTCATTCCCGGATACCACTGTAACTGTTGGAGAACAAGAGTTCTGGCGAAGTTCCTGTCTCTGCTAGCAGCAAAGTTGATAAAACAGGGAAATATCTTAGCAAATATTAATTTTTTAAAAAGCTTAAACCATTAAATCTTACTTAAAATCACTAGAAATCAGAATATACACTTCAGACATTTTGCTATAAACTAGTTCATATGCAGTTTATAGCAAAGCTATAAACTTGGCTATTAATAACCGATCCATAATACGTATTCAATGTAATGTATTGAGTAAGTGAAATAAAATCTCTCCTTCACCTCTGGGAGGAAAATTTGGAAACAATTTGATATACATAATCTTAAGACTTGTCTATGGGAAATATCCAAAGTCCTCTGCCAGCAGGGTAAAGTCACACTTTGCAGCATGACCCACAGAGCCCTCCACGCTCAGCCCCGCACCCCCAGTGCCTGCCACCCATAACCAGTGGCTTCTCCCGGCTCAGGCTGCTCTGAACAGGAGACAAAACACCGGCCCCTGCTTCTAGGGCCGTGGCCTCTAGATCTCTGCTCAGGCCCAGGCGGCCGCACCCACTCCTTGGCCCCACACACACATGCCTACTCTATAGCTCGTTTTCTCTGTTACACTTGTCCTCAACCAGAATGCCAACCTGTTAAGGGCTAGGACCTTGTCACTTTGTGTTGGTGTTCCCCAGGACCTGGCACAGTGCTGGGCACATAGTATATTCTTAATAATATGGCCAGTATGAATACAGTCCTCATTTGTTATCTCATTTGTTATCAGACTGCTTTAAAACACTGATGCTCTGGCCTGGACGGGCAGAAGTAACGCCGCCTGCTGAGGAAGTTAACCGACATCTCACCTCATAACTGGAAGTGACCCTTAATCTCTTCTCCCTGTCAGAGTAGCTGCGGGCAGGCCCACGGCGGGAACTCTACCACAGACAACCTGCTGGGCTCAGTGGCTCACTGAATGTTTCTTGGCCCACAAATCCACCCACTTTCAAACCCTTTCTGCAGCCTCCCTCATTCAGGAATGTAAAGCCATTCCTTTTTTTTTTTTTTAAGTTACTTTTGGCCACTTCTTCAGCTGAGATGTGAAGAATGCAGAGTCCCCGCAGGATAACAAGGGGGCCTCTTGAAGGCCAACACTCAGAATCAAAGGACTTCAGATCCATGAGACAGCCTTCTCAGTGGCCCTGCATTACTGCTTTGTTGCTTCAGGACTCACCTTTGTTGAACTGAGTACAGCTGAATACAGGCCGGCCCTGAGGAATGAGGTCTTTGTGGGGTAAGCACATTCTCTCGTCAGTCACAGTGGGTGGTAGAGAGTTCTGAGCAATTAAACAAAAGAAAGTCTGCCAGGATACTCCTAGGAAAGAGTCTACTTCCTGATAAGAGATCCAGGAGGAGAGTTCTTCCCCACCCCCTCTCCTCTCTGCTGTTGATGAGGCTGTGAGGTCTGGAGCGACAGCATCCATTTTGTGACCAAGAAGGAGGAGCCTGAAGACAAAGCGACTGGCAGAGCAGAACAAGGGCAAGAGCCTGGGTCCTTGATGACATCTTTGAACCACTGCACCAACCCTAGAGGCATCATGGCTCCATATTCTGGTTCAAGAGAAAAGTAAATATCTTGATGGCTTGAGCCACTGTCACCTGCAGCTAAAAACATCTGCATATAAACTGGAAGGGACATTTTCTCTCTCCTAGTGCTACATGCGCCCCCCCCCCCTTATTTTACAAATAAGGAAAGAAAGATATGAAGTCTTTGAGACAAAAGGCAATATGAGATCCAAAGAGCAAAGCTAAGTCAGGAGTCTCAGGCCTGTGTGCTTTGGACCAGTTACGCTGCTGCTTATTTTGCTTGCCCTTTTTTTTTTTTTTAAAGCAGCATTGGACACGAGGGCTCTGTGCACAGAGGGGTCATGGCGGGCTTCCCACCGCAGAACAACTGGAACCCAGCAACTGCACATGTGAAAACTGCAGTTTTATGCTAAGTTGCCTTAAATAAGGAAAAGCAGCTGGTTCTGTCAGGGAAGCAGCTGGTCACAGCATTCTCCGAAAATCCCCAGCACAGCCTTTCTCTCCTGTTGGTTCACGATTTTATTCAGAGTTCCTCCTTCATATCATGTGCTTTTCTAGACAAACATAATCACAGCCCTTCTGGGTTGTAAAGGTAATGTAAGAAGAGACAGAAAATAAACGAGTAAACACACAAATGTATAATTACAAATCAGAATGAATTTGGCTCAGCCAAAGTGCGTAGGATGCACGTAAGAGAAAAACAGGAAGACCTTGAACATGGGATGTTTGGGAAGGTCTTTAGAACTAAAGGTAAAGGAGCAAAAAATTTGAAATGTGGAGAGAAGACCATTTCAGGTGGAACAGAACGTGTAAGGCTCTCAGACAGTAAAGAATTTTACTTTCCTACAGAAACGAAATGAGGCAAGGACCAGCCCATATGCAAAGGAAAGAATCTGGATTTTGATATTCAACGTGCAATGGGAAGTACTGAAGGCTTTTAAGCAGGGCAGTGGTACTGATCTATGTCTTATAAAGCTCACTGTAAGGAGGTTGAATATTAGGCGAGAAAGAAGACAAGCAGATCAGTTAGGAAACTATCTTCAGTGGTTAATTCAAGATAAAATGCTGACTTGGAGAATCCAGTCAAGATGGCTCTGTACGTAAATGAGATACTCATATCCTCCCACAACCACATCAAAATTACAGCTGAACTACAGAACAACCTTCATTCAGAAACACCTGAAATCTCGCTGAACCAAAGTCCTACAACTAAGGATATACAGAAGAAACCACATTGGACCGGTAGCAGACTGCGGAGAAGTGGAATGGGCTCGCGCCACACCCACATGTGGCAGCTAAAAAACCAGAGGGATTAGCACTTTCACAGGCTGCCAGAGCTCCAGAGCTGGGACAGCAGCTCGAGAGGCACCAGGGACATACGGGAAGGAACTGAGTTGTCCAGCAAGGGCTTGGAGGGGCAGCTTTCTCCCAGACAGATGTGCTGGCACAGGCCGTTGTTCTGAGCACCGCCCCCAGAGCCAACACGCAGGCACCGTATCAGAGTCTCCATCATTGTGGCTGACACTGTTCGGCTGCCCTGGGACCCCACCGCACCCGACTTACAGGACCACCCAAGCAACTTCCAGTGGATTTTCTACACAAAAGTACTGTCTTGGTTCATACTGAAGTCTTGCCTAAAACCTGGCAGGTTCCCAAACACCAAATAAGCAGCATCTGGCCCCCACCTGCCCCTTACAGCTCACTAAGTGGCCCCAAGCACGGCACTAGTAGCAGTTGGCTTTGGTTCAAAGCTTGGCCTCTCCCATGTACCTCCAAGCCAAGCACAAGTAGCAAGCACAGATCACTTTGTAGCTTATGCTGGGTAACCCCAGGCAGGGCACAGGTGGTGGTTGACCTTGGCCTGCACCCCGCAGAGGGCCCCAGAGTCCGTGCAACCAGTGGACGACAGCTTCAGACCACACCAAAGCATTACCCAGCCACCGCCATGAGCAGCACAATCAAGGGGCAGACTGGTCAGGCATAAGAGCCCTGCTGAAGTGAGTGCTGCTCCACAGGGTTGGCCCTTGCACAGCAGCTCCACCACCATAGTCTGGGCCAGTCCTCACAACCAGTTGGTCTGGGGTAGGGAGTGGTTAAGTCTCTCCCATTGATATTCCAACAGCAACAAAGGCTCAGGACAACAAGAG